CAACATTCTCCATCAGTCTGAAAGACCATGTCACCATGCAAAGAACCATTTAAGCATGAAGTGGTTCTAGTTCAGGGGTCGGCGACATGCGGCTCTTTTACTGCCCGGTTGCGGCTCCACAGCAGAATTAGATTTTAGGTAAAAACTAAATAATCCTCTTTGGCAGTAAAAACAAAGCTCTGCTGATCGTTCAACACAGTTTTGGTCAATAAAATGGCCATATTTGTGTTGTAGATGTCATGACCCCTGGTTCCCATCACCAGCATTGTGTAAAAATAAATAAATAAATAAATAAATAATTCCAGGATGGTAAGTTTCTCTAAAACGAACTATCTCACATCAGTCTGCTCTGAATGACTTCACATCCCAACCACTGAATTATGCAGAAATACTGAATAAATTGGTGAAATTCCCCTTGAAAGCGGAATCATTAGATGAGCAGCTTCTTAAACAGCTGTAATTCTGTCGTCTGCTCATGAATGGCACAAACTCGGGGGTCACGCAAGAGTGCGTAACCCCTGTGTCTCGAGTGGGCTGAAATTTACTCGCGCTCTCAGAGGAAATAAAAAGTGGATTGCCTAAATCCAGCCGTGACGCTCGGCAGCCGGCTACGTTTAACTGTAGTCTTTGAAGGGCAGTCTCTGGGGAAATAAAGCACACGTCACTTGGGTAATAGAGACGAGCCTTAAATCAAAAGAGGCGTCGCTTAATTCACAGAGCCACCGACGGCAGTCCTTATTAAAGACAGCAATCCCTCATGGCTTAGCGGAATAAAGCTGAGTTGTACTACTTAAAACCAAACATGCGGCAGCAGCGTCAATAGTACAGAATTAGGTGTGATTGCTTTGTTTGTTGTGCACATATTGCTGTAGATATTCTACCAGCTGCGGCCTAACATGCAACTGAATCCCTCCCAGGCCGCTGGTTTGCTGTCAGGCACTTTCATCACTCCTAATCAGGCCTATTTAACATACAGCCATAAGACTGGACAAGCACATAAATGCTTGCATGTAAATCTGCACGAGTTTTGGAGAACAGATGTGCAATTAGTCTCTCCTTCATGTGCTAAATAGTCCGTTACTAATTGTCCGTCTTTCTCATGTACCATTACTTAAAAGGATTAAACGCAAAAACGAAGCGATCCACTAATTACGAAGCTGAAGGAAGACTGGATGGACACGTTGCTGTTATTGAGGAGCTCTCTGAGCCGGCGCTGTCAGTCGCAGCCTTGAAGGCCCTGCAGCCTTCACAATGCGCTATTTCTGCTCTAGACTGCTTTAGTCCCCTCACTTAAAGGACCTGATAATGATCTGCTGAGGTGAGAGGCGTGATTGAGAAGCTGTTCGTGTCGATTCCACATTACGTTTGGTTTGAACGAGCTGTCTTTGTATTGAAAGCATGCAAATGTAGTACTTGGCAAAAAAAGAGATACACTTAGTACAATATCACTCAAGATAACAGCTCTATTTATGTTTCTACCAGTTACTGTACAGATGTACTTGCTTTTCAGTGTATTTAAGTATCAAAAGTAAATGTGCACACTTAACAGATGGTCTCTTTAAGTGTTCTTTAGTAAAGGCAATAGTTCTATAGTTCTAGGTCAGGGGTCGCAACCCAAATGTTAAGAAGAGCCATTTTGTCCTTTCAACAAAAATCAAACCATCTTCGGAGCCGCAACATTTTTCCATTTTACCATCTTCGCTGTAAATATGTCTCAGTATGTGCTGATGCATTAGTATAAGGTAAAAAATAAATAAAATGCAGACTTCTTTTGCTCTGCTTTAAGATTTGGCTCAGCTATAGCTGCTTTTCTCGCATCTCTGGCAGGAAACTTTTCCTCAAAAGTAGAACAGTGTGTTGTAAAACGTCTCTCACCGTTCGCTTTTTACGAGGCTGAAGTCGTTTCTCATTCGCGGCTTCTTGTTTGAATTTTCACGTTCCACCTTAAATGGAGCCTGAGGAGCCAGAATGTAACCGCGACAACATTTAGGGTGAAATTGGCGAATGAGAATCTGACTTCAGCTTCATGACTTTAGTGTTTGACAGTTTCTCACTGCAGATTAAACGTATCAGGAAACCAGCTGGAGTGATTATAAATGGAAATAAGTCCATTTGTCTCCAAATTACTGATGTTCATCTTAAATCTTTCTTTTTGCCTTGTCATTAGCTACTAGCTAGGCGAGACAGTTATCTGTGTTGCTATGGTGACCAGCAGTCTGTGCGTCATCCGACAGGGTTAAAGGGTGAATTAGCAGTTCTACATTAACTCCAGCGTTTGAGACCATTTATTTATTTTTAGTGTACAATTTGTGTTCATTTGCTGAGTTTGGAAAATACACACACACACTAAGTCGCTTGTCCTCCTAGGTTGTGGGGGGTGCTGGAGCCTATCCCAGTGCTCACTGGGTGGAAGGCAGGAAACACCCTGGACAGGCTGCCAGTCCATCAGAGGGCAGACAAGCAGACATATACACTCACACCTAGGGGCAGTTTAGCATGTCCAATTGGGCTGACCGCATGTCTTTGGACTGTGGGAGAAAACCCACACAGACACAGGGAAAACCCTGGTCGCCCGGCTGGAGAATCGAACCCAGGCCATCGTTGGCGACAGCGACAGCGCTACCCACTGGAAAATAATAAAACAAAATTTATAAATTCCCATAACTTTTGCCTAAGCCACGTTATGTTTTTTCCCTCCTCTATGTCAAATTAATCAAATAAACAGTAACTCTGCATTAAATTGTGCATAACCATGTTCTCTGTAGAGGATAAGTAACTTATTTAAACTTAGAAAAACAACAAAACATCATTTAACCAGGAGAAAACTTTGCATAAGACTGTATCAGTGTGGTAGCCCAGGGTCACCTAAACATTCTACTCAATAATCACCAATCAATACGACCAATAGTCATCTGTCAAATATAAACATCTTAGCAATTATTTTTTTTATGCAAATATCTGCAGATGATGATTCTGATCACTGCGCATCCCTGTTATTTACTATCTAAAACTACCAGTGAACTGGTAAATGTGGTGAAATGGTTCACATGTGGTAAAATGTCAATTATCAGGCTGTGTGTTCATGAGCATTTAATGTAATAACTTTCTATGCTTTCAGACATATTTAACTCACTCTGATGACTATCTTTACATCTCAACCAATACATTATGCAGAACTGTTGAAAAATTGGTGGAATTCCCCTTCAAATCCCAAATACAGGGAATATAGCATAACCTGCAAAGGCTGTTTTCATTAAAGGGCATAAAAGCCAGTAGAAGGGAACTGGTTTGGATTCAGGACTGCAGTTATGAAATTAAGCAGAAAATACGAGCAAGGATTTGAACGCAACAATAGTTGAGCATATTAAGAAGCTCACATTAAGTCAGAGCAAGCTCAGGATTATTTTTCTTGCGCTCTGCATTAGAAACATTGCACAATCAATGATAATCTATTACTCTCATTCAGAGTAAGTAATTTACTCCAACTGTGTACACATAATTTTGAACGGGCTGACGTCTCATTCTGCTCTTTAAACAGAAAAATATCAAGACTAGCATGTACAGTACTGGGCAAAAGTCAGAGACCACCTGTCATTTATTTAATGGTCCAAACAGCAGTTAAAGTACAAGTTCTTCCTTTTCAGGAGATCTTTCTGAGGAGATCACATAAAATAATCCACTCTATAAAGAAATTAAAAGGAGTGAAAACAGGAAATTCCAAAACTATAGAAAATTGGGCTCCTAACAACCACCTGGAAGACCTGGGAGACACCAAAACTGCCCCCATCAGATAAACAGCACTTAAAGCTTTCATCTCTGAGAGAGAGGAGAAAATCAAGCTGCTTCAGATCTGAAAACATCCACAGGTGTTTCTGTCCATCCTTCCACTGTGAGAAGACGACTCAGCGCTGTGGGTCTGAAAGGATGTGTAGCTGTCAAGAAGAACCTCACTGAGAAAAGGAGACGGACACATCACACAAAGAAGCTGAACGATGGACTGACCACCCCAGAGTCCAGACCTCAACACCACTGAATGTGTTTGATTAGTTCAGAAAATGATCAACCAGCTTCTAAGACTGTGTTCACACAGCAGGTAAAAGTGGCCCTGATCTGATCATTTTCTTCATATGTGACTGAATCTGACATTTTCAACTTCGATTTGAGACACTTTCACATGTGGTACTGAAATCCGAAAGGTATCCGATATGCAGCAGTGACTCTGAACGGCCAGATCGTCATAATTTCACGCTGCTGAGACCTCAAACATTTAGGCTGATGTTTCTGTACCAAAAAATTAGAAGAGACTCATCCAAACTGCTCCGTGTTCAAAGAGATTTCAAAAGAAATGCAGAACTCGGCCGGAGGAGAACGAGGCTGCAGCGTCAAAGAACAGTTAAAAGTCTGAAAGCAAAGTTTAAAGAATCCGAGGACACGAACCAAAGAAGTGACCGCGCCCTTTTTACGGCTCAGACACATTCTGGGTGATGAGCTGTCAGTCAGTGAAGCTTCATGATGGCTCCTGTGATGCTGGTGAAGATGAAGCTGATCCTCCGGGAGCGACAGGCGTTTGTTGGCAGTCGTGATTGTTTATCTCTGGATGAGCCGCATGAAGCTCTGTTCTTTTGCGCATGCGAGTCCGTTTAGGAGCTGATCTGATGAGACTGATGTTGCACTGAGGTCACATTTAAAAGATACTGTGAACAGCTAAACAGTCTGATTTGGTGAGAAAATCAGGTTTGGGCCACTTTTACCTGCTGTGTGAACGTAGCCTAATACTAAACTTTGGAGGTGTGGAAAAATATCCCTGCAGTTTTTAAAAAACTGAAACGAGTCTCTTGAAAAGAAATACGAAATACTGAAAAAAATGATCTGTTAAACGTTTCCCGCCCCACAGCATTGAAAAATGAATAACTTAATGGCCGTTCTGACTGGAAATGAAATAAAGGGTGGTCTCTGCCTTCTGAACAGTACTGTATAAAAACTTAAAAAGGGGTCCTTTGCACGTTTAAAACCAGAACATTTATTGCTTCACCTGAATACTGCATCGAAAGCACACGCATTCAGTTTTACACAGAGATCTTACAATAATATATGGATTCACAAAAAAGCAGTGAACACATAACGCTCTACAAAACTACAGAAATTTAAAAATTCTAAATATCAAAACGGTACAGCTGCAGTGAGGGCAGCCAGCTGTTACTGGTGAGACAACTTGGTGTAGACAGGGGCCTCTCGCGCTTTCGCACTCACTCGCACACGAACACGCACACTTAGCTAATCGGACCAGTCATCGGTAAAACTGACCGCCAAAATGAACAGAACTTCTCAAAAATAGAGCGATTCATTGAAATGTCCATATAAATTACTGTGAACCAAAAGAAGTCATTATGTATATGTACCTTTTATATTAAACTCTCTCCTTCAGTATAGTCTACGGTTTCGCACTGCTGTAACAGCGAGAGATAATCGAGGGAAGAAGACGGAAGGATAGATAAAAGGATAGAAGGAAAGGATGTGTCGGTTGCAACACAGTGAGACGTTCCACGTGGGTCTGTATGCGCGATATCTGACGGATGAAACCATCATCGCACCCAAAACTACATGAAAGAACGAAAACGAACGTGAACTGAAAACTATGGCTTCTCTTCAAACGCTAGTAAGCAATGGGTCTTTGGAGAAACTGCATAAGCAAAGTACAGAGAACCTCCACTGCCTCGGAGACGGGGTTTACGTAACTGAACTACAAAAACTCGAACAAAGCTGAGCTTGTCCTGAGGACGCACACCAAAGTGAAACATCCCTTCGCTATGTTACAACGACAAGCAGACAGAAGGAGAAATGCCTTTGAAGACCAACTGCATCGAAAGGGGCAAACGAAAGGGTACAAAAAAGAACCTTCCAGTTTAAAACCTTCAATTCAAAACTAAAAATCACATATGTACACCAGCATCATGTGTCCATTCAGAGGAAGGAAAGAAAGTCGGAGAAGTTGGTGACACTGGACCGAAAGGCTCATGGTGGAAGGTCAGTCATGGCGGCGCCAAGTTAACGAGCCCCTCCCGACAGCGTTCGTTAGTGTGTTCTTCTCAAATCTCCACATATGAGCACACGCTGGTTGCTGTTTATGCTACGGAGTCAGTTATTTCTGAGGCTCTTAGTCCTGTTCCATGGGCTCCTCTGTACTTTCTGAGTCCAGCTCCCCCGACTCGACGTCGCCCTCTGTGGGAGAGTCTGCAGCACTGCTGCTGGGGGCCTGGCCGCCGCTGCTCTCGTTACTGCTCAATCCGCTCTCGTCACCGCTGCTGCTGCTGCTGCTGCTGCTGACCGGCTCGCTTGGCTCCTCCCCCTCCCGCTGCTCAGGACTGGAGGCCGGTGCTTGCTGCTCAGACTGGTCCATGTCGCTGGGCTCCTCAGCCGGGGAGGTGGAGCCACAAGGCACTTCCCTCTCGGCGGTGCAGCCTTCTTGGTCGTCTGCGGGCGCGCAGTCGGACTGAGTGCTAGAGGGCTCTGGAAGAGAAAGAATGCAGAAAGAAGAGTTACGTTTCTGCACTTTAATTAGACACACAGAAGTGGATTCATGGCCATGCAAACAGATCTGTCTGGATCCTTTTCATTAATGTGATCTCAAATGTGGAGCCATCAACTTAACATCATTCAGAGTGGTTTGACGTGAAAAACTCTGTTCTAGAGAAACTTATCAACTCCGATTTCTTCGGTGGTGGTAGAAAGAAGGGATTGTGATGTCCACAACATCTTATTTAGTATCCAAAACCACCAGTAAACCTACAAGTGTGCCTCTTGGGATTTTATATGTAATAGAAATGATGATTAAATAGTGGTGAATCTGAAAAAACGTGTTTTCTTTTGAGACCATTTTTCCTTACCTCTCCAACTTTCCGTGAGGGAGCTTTTAGAGACATTAAACTCCTCATATATCTGTCATCACCACTATGAATAATTCGGACTTTGTAAGGTTCTCTAGAACAGAGCACTTCAGATTTAACCACTCAAACATTTATTTAAAACATTTTCAATGTTTGAAAAATCAGTGAATGTCCCCTTTAAATGTAGTGCTACTAGTGTGTCTGTGTGTCAAAAAGTTGTGATACACCTCGTGTTTAATGAAAAAATGAAAATGAAAGTATTATGATATTTTTGCTATATTGCCCACTCTATAGGCCAGGAGTGTCCAGCTCCATCCTGGGGGCTTTGATCCAGGAAAGTTTGGCAGTATCTCTGCTCAAAGATACATATCGTTGCTGTCGGGACAAAACCTCATATCTCCAAAAAGGTAATGTTACAGGACAAGGGAAAATGTCCTTCACTTTAATGGAAATAAATAGAGAAATATTTTTTCCCAAGTAATTCCGGACCACTTCTGTTAGTCCATGCATCATAAAAGTTTGACAATATAAAAAGCAAGTGCCTTTTTTAAATTATGTCAAAAAATGAAAAATGCACATGTGGGGTTTTGCCCCGACAACTGCGATATATATGATTCAACTCTGCAATTAACTCGGCCAGAGTCCCAAAACGGAAACTGGACAGCCTTCCACAAATTGGCTAACTGGGCCAATGTGTGGAAGGCTGTCCAGGCTGTATTATATTGACCTTCCATATAATAATAAAACCGAATGTTTAAAAAAAAAAGATACCCTGTGCTTCACATCCTGCTGTTGAAGTCACAGCCTCTGTGGGCTGTAGTCCATGCAAGTTTGGCAATTTTCCTGCTCAAACTTACAGAATGCTGTCGGACAAAACCTCGTATCTCCATTTTTGTTGTTTTCAAGTTTTTTGACAATTTTAAAACACTTGTCCTTTACATTGTTTGTAAATTTCATAATGAATGAACCAAAGGAAACAATGATGAATGAAACATGAAAAATGACACGGGGAAAAGTCTGGTTCCACTGACTTACATTAAAAGTAAGGAAAGTTTTTTCCTTCATCTGTAAAGTTACCATTTTGGAGATACAAGGTTTTTGCCCAACAACAGCGATATATATGAACCACCTCTGCAATTAACTCAGCTGGAGTCCCGTTTTGGACAGCTGGAGCCTGAGAAACGGACACCCCTTCCACACTTTGGCTAACTGGCCACAATTATTCTAAATTAGCCAAACTTTCTGAATGATCTTCAATATAAAAACAAATCTGAATGGTTCAAAAAAGATACCCTGGTCTTCACAGCCTGCTGTTGAAGTGGCAGCCTCACTCTCCTCCTCCTCACGCTCCTCATCTTTTTCCTCCGTCATGGACGACGGCGAATCAGTTTCCTGCACGCTGGACGCGCTCTCGGGCGGCGCAGGTCGAAGCGTCTCGCTGATCGGCTCGTCTACGACATCATCCTCTTCCTCACCTCCATCTTCAGTGAACTTCAGCCTCTTCACCTCTTGCTGCTCTCCCTCCATGTCTTCGTCCTCATCTGCATGTTTGTTCTTTATGGAACCACTTAGAGAACTGCCCGAAACAGAGGCATCGCTGCAAAACACACACAAGAACCGTATTACAGAAATCATCCTAGAACGTACAGCACGTTGACAATAAAGAGCAACTTAAATATACAATCTGTCCAAAAGTTTGTAGACACCTCCTCATCCAGCATTTCTTATGAAATGAAGGGTATTAATAGGGAGTTTGGCCCCCTTTGCAGCAGTAACAGCCTCTACCACTCTAGGAAGACTTTACACTAGATGTTGGAACATTGCTGTGAGGATTTGATTGCATTCAGCCACAAGAGCATTAGTGAGGTCAGGTACTGATTTTGGATGATTAGTTCTGGAACTCCAACTTATCCCAAAGGTATTGGATGGAGCTCCATCACTTCAGAAAATGCAGTTCCACTGATCCCCAGCCCAATGCTGGGGCGCTTTATACCCCTCTAGCCAACACCTGGCATTGGGCATGGTGACCGTCGGCTCATGTGCAGCTGCTCCACAGCTGTATATGCTCACTTTACATTAATACATTGATTTTTTTGTAACTGTCTTTATAAAATAGGCTGCAGAGAGATCGGATCATCCTACCCATGTACATCACTGCCTGGTTTTAATTTCAGTGCACAGTGTGGTACAAGTTAGCAAAGCTGCTGTAGCTCAGTTTCTCAGCATGCTTGCTCAGTACTCGGGTGTGCAGAGTGTTATTTTGAATGAAACAGATTTACGGATAGTTGTCCTTAGACAGGACTGTCAGCAGAGGCAGCGTTTTCGTACAGCGTGAGCATATAAATCCTCTGTACTCAATGGTCTATTCAAATGTACAGTGCAAGTCACCAAAGAACAAGATTTCTAAAGGGTGAAGGGTGAAGTGTTGAGGCTACATGACCCTCCAAACGGAGGTTTTTCAGAGACTCACTCCAAACTGAGTGTTATGAGAAAACTGGCAAGATGGCTGCAGAAGCGACCAAAGAAACCCATAAATGTGAGAATGTTCTCTGTTAAAAATATGATAACCATTGTATTATCTTAGTTTAATGTCATTTCAATGTATTATGGTCCTTTTCTTGCCAACAAGCATTAATCGCTAGTAGTATACTGATGTGTCGGTCGCTAGCTAGCTAAATTTCCCCGTTCCACCTTAAATAGTTCAGCAGTTCTGATGCCTGAAGCAACACAATGTAAATGCCGCTCCATTTAAGGTGAAATGGGAAAATTCGAAATAGAAGCTGGTGAATATCTGACTTCAGCTTCATATCACTGAAGAATTAGAGGTGGGCCACAACAAATAATAGTCATACCCCCCTCTTCGAAGGCATATGATGCCCTAAATGTAACTAAAGCCCAGCAGTGAGGAGCTGAACTTTACCCTCCTCTGCTGTCACTGCAGACTGGCAGGGTCGCCTACAGAGCAGCACTAGTAGCTGTTAATGAAGCAATGTTCTTTTTATTTGAGGGTCCCCTTGCGTAGGGGAAGATTTCAACCACTACCCGCTGTGACTCAGTTCCAAGGGACAAGGTGACACTTGAAATCAAGGGGTTGGGGTAAAGATAAGAAATGAGATTGGGACAGTGTACGCCTGGCTTTAGAGGACATTCAACTACAGCCCAACCAGCCAAAAAGACTCCAACAAGACATACAATTTGAAATGTGAGTCCTTGAAACGTGATTCCTGCTGTAACCGTGCTACAGAGACCACTGTCGAAAGAGACGGACATATTAGGATCAAAGCTTTGAATGTACTTACAGTTGTACAGAAGCAGTTTTCTGACGTGGAACTAAACCTGCTCTTCTCCACTGCAGCGCTACTCGATTCCAAGGTAAATAACGTGATGTAGCTAAATCAGCTAGATTTTAATTATTTAATTGTTAAAGTAAACTGCACTAGCAGTATACAGTATACTAGCAAGGTTACTCATGGTACTGGAATCAGTGTCAACAAGTATCGATATATGGTATTGATGCATCCCCAGAGATCATACTGAAGCTGTGTGTGCACTGAATACCAGTGTCAGCAATACATGCATGTAATTATAAGGAGTGCCTGGATACTTTTGGACATAGTGTATCTATAAAACTACTTTACTAATAGTAAAGTAATTCACATTTAATATAAAGTACTGTGCAAAACTTTTAGGCACCTGAGAAAATTTGAATTATTTATATTCATTTGTTTAGCTGTTTATTCACAGCTATTTATCTGGACAGTAAGTATTAATTTGCTCAGAAAAACACTAATACACATAAAATAATACAGTAAGTAGGTATTTCATGCATGTCAATGCGTTTTTAACCATTTCCAAACTTCTCCTCCAGGCAGCCTGGTATTAACTGTAGTTATTATCAAATACCTGACCTGTCTAAATCAGTAAGTTATGCTTTATTGAAGTGTGCTTGTGATGGAATCACAAATCCATGCACTGGCTGGGGGCATCCAGGAGAAATCTGGAATCAAATTTTGCTCTTCAAACTGACTCATAAGAAATTCTATTGTAATGAATTCACATTTACTAGCAAATACACACTTGCAGCTGAGATAAATAGTGTTAAACAATGTGCTTAAGACTTCTGCACAGTACTGTGAGTATGAGACAGGCATTTTTTATGCATGTGATGCAGTTAAAAACAATCCGAACACCAATATCAACTTGAAAGAACAACATATACAGATACAGTCCATGTTTCAAAGTGCCCTCAGTGAACAGAGCAGGTGAAGCATACCTAACAAGCTTGTTGTGGCCTGCCGCTATGTTTGATTCTTTGTTTTCTGTGCTGTCTGGCAGGCCGTTCGTGGCCAGTGAACTAGATGAGGAGAGCTTAGGTCTGGTCAGCGGTCTGGGGGTTCCTGGTCCGTTCACCTTCCTGAGAAAAAGAGCACGAGAAAAATTATGGGAGCATGAAAGTGAGCAAGAGTGTGAAGTTATTGGTTAACGACATTCGCCCAGGACTAAGCCTCCCCTCATTCCCAAAAAAGAAAATCTGTTCAAATCTGCTGCCAAGGAGTTGCTAAGAACCAAACAGCTACTGAACCCCAGATGCTAAAAGCCTACAGCAGCAATGATTTCATGAATTTCTTCAATAATAAAATTGAAACAATCAGGCAAAAAAATCTAAATGCACAGTTAACCTCTACAAACCCGCTGCCCTACAAAGCAAATCCAGATCTCGAGAACAAAGGCTGGAATTGTTTACCTTACTTCAACAAACTGAGCTAGTTAAAATTATTTCCTCCTCAAAATCTTCTACTTGCATATTAGATCCAATTCCCACAAGTTTACTCTAAGAAATTTTGCCAGATATAACAAAGCCTCTTCTGTCACTAATAAACACCTCTCCTAGCCTTGGCTATATACCAAAAACTCAAACTTGCAGTAATTGGACCTCTGATCCCTGTAAGCCATCAAATTATAGACCTATCTTAAATCTTCCCTTAGTATCAAAGATATTGGAAAAAGCTGTGGCACAACAACTACGTTCCTATTTGTACAGGAATCACATACATGAAAAATTTCAGTCTGGATTTAGGCCTCATCATAGCACAGAAACAGCACTAGTGAAAACTAAACAAGCTCTTATTATTCTCTAACCAAGGAAATTTATCTTTGCCAGTTCTGCTTGATCTTAGTGCGGCATCTGATTCGTCAGACCACTCTATCTTACAAGATAAACTAGAAAATCCTTGTAGGAGTAACAGGAGTAGGTCTTTCCTGGTTCAGATCATACCTGACTGATCGCTATCAGTTTGTGAATGTAAAAGGCGAATCATCTGTTCTTACAAAAGTAAAGTATGGTGTTCCACAAGGCTCTGTTTTAGGACCTTTTTTTATTCACATTAAGTATGCTACTGCTGGGTACCATTATTAGTAAACATGGCATCAATTTCCACTGCTACGCTGATGACACACAATCGTATATGTAGACCAAACCAGATGATAAACCTTAACTTGATTAGATTGAGGACTGCGTACAAGACACGAAAGACTGGATGTCGAGTAAATTCCTCCAACTCAACTCAAAGGAGGTTCTCCTTCTTGGTCCAAAAGCTGCCAGAAACAAACTGTCCAATTTAACACTTAATAGTTTCTCAGTTGCATCTGGTACATCTAGGGCTGGGCGATAAAACGATAACGATAATTATCGCGATATAACTTTTCCTCGATAGAGCGATACGACATGTTCGATAAATGTTCGATATAATACGCCATTCTCACACTTCCACGTTCAGCGAAAGCCTTGGTGGCGTTTTCTACTGCAAGGAAAGCGACCCTACTGTGCTGTCGCCAGGAGAGGGCGCACTTCCGAGTTTTTCTACATGATTAGAGAGGGAGGGGGTCACGAGTAAGATGAGTCTTTAGCAACGGCTGAAACGCGGAGTTATACTTTCCCTGTTTGAGTGGAGCGACAGGCGATCTGTTCTCCTGTGACCGAGTGTGAGTGACGAGGTCAGTGGTGTAACTGTACTGACCTACAGCGAACTCACCTCTTTACTAACATCCTAGCCAGCTTTAGCAGCGTTAAATCACAATCACAGTCCTCACAACTACAGCTCTGTTACAGCGCTCGGACAGTCATATTTAAGTATGAGTGCATTCCCAAGCAACGAAAGTGAAAGAAAGAAGTGGGTTCATGTAAATTACAGCCCTGATTTAAACAAAAGTAAACTGAGGAAGCTGTGAGGCATTGGAGAGCGGGAGAGCGCTAAGCTATTTTTCCAGGCTAGCTGTTTTTAGCAGCTGGCTAACTTAAAGCAGCGCTTCGTCACTCACACAGCACAGAGAATTAATGATACTGTAGATCAAACAAGACACAAAAGCACCGCTTTCAGTTTAAACGTACCTAAAAGGAGGAGTTTGTCTTGTGTTGATATTTTGCGGTTAACCCCTTAAACTACTACAATTGAATATCCAGTCGTCGCTAGCTGGTGTCTGAATACTGTGATGTCATTTGTAGCGGGGTAGCCGAGCGCTCGTCACCAGCTAAACATAATCTGTTTTCTTTCTTAAATTATGACTATTACAAAATAGCCATGCTTTTCCAGCTGGTAGAAACAGCTCAGCAGACACTCTCTCCCACTCTCCCATGACAGATCTGTGAAATGTTCCACTGTTTGAGTGTTTGTTGTGTTCCAACCATAAAGGATAGTTTAAAACAGCAATTAACCCCCCAGGAGCAAAAATCAGCCTTCAAACTTGAAAGAAATAATGATTTGACATTTATCGCAATATGTATCGATATCAAACGATATAAATTTTGTTTATCGTGATAACATTTTTGGCCATATCGCCCAGCTCTAGGTACATCTGTAAAAAACCTTGATATCACAATTGATTCTGATCTGTCCTTTGATGCACCAATATTAGTAGAATAGCTTTCCTCCATCTTTATAGCATTGCCAAATTAAGAAATGTACCGTCTCTACAGGATGTTAAAAAAAAGCATGCATTCATTATCTCAATGCATGAACTAGCTTTTCAGCATCCTGTAGAGACAGTGCATATCTTACTCAGAACAGAACTGTGATCGATATGTGCTTATTATTGATTTATGTAATCAGATTAATGATAAAATGCAAATAAACACACTAGCATTCAGAAATCCCATTATTAATGGGAAGGACGAGATAAAATGGCAGAAATAGCCACTCCTTTGCATCAGCTTTGAAGGGTTAAATCACAGACTAAACAGTCCTGGCTAATGTGCCTTACCTTTCGGTGAAAACAGATGTGTTGCCTGGCAACATGACTCCATTCATTCTGTTAACACCACTACAGCCGTTCTTCCTGAAAAAGAAAGAATAATGAGCATCCTTTCCATCATAGTGGGCATTCAGTACTGTACATGAATAGAACCAATATAAGAAGTTAATATTTAGAGGCACAGATGGATGAATGTCACTTACTCAGAAGTGGGATAAACACAACTGACCACCATCACGTTCTGGGGAGAGAGAACAAATGTTATGAGGAAGAAAGAAATCCAACAAGCTACAGGAATTTCCAAAAGTAGGGAATATTTTATTCAGTACTGGTCCCATGTAATACACCTTCATATTACCTGGTCTCTGTGAATGATATGCAGTGCGGTAGTTGTTACTGTACTACGCATAACATTGATACGGAATCATTTTTTTGTTTTACGAAGCCGTATTTCTTGCTTGGCCAGCTCACTTTAAGCTTAGCTTGATCTAACCCTGGACTCTCATAAGGGTGGATCACTTTTAAATGGGCTAAGTCACCATGGCGACTTACGCTGTATGCTCCAGAGCTAGTTAAGTTTTGGATTTTGGATCACAACAGCTCTTGCACCAATCAAGCCCGAGCTTCTGACCACTCAGAGACAGCCTTCTAACCGAGGTTGACCTCTTCAGTCTTATTTGAGTAAAACTTCATTTTATTTATGACGTTTGTGGCATCAATCACATGAAAATTTTGCCTCTCAGGTGGGGAAACAATATCATACTTACACAGATATACATATTATAAAGCAGTTACTACTCCAATAAGCACTAACACAGTCGCTGTAGAGACAGTGTTGCTTTTTATTGTTATAAATGCTTTACTTTCCATGTTTATGTAGTGCGATTCTTTATTCCTCTTTGAAAATCAAGCCACTCGGCTCCTCACGTTTCACATGACTGGCGGTTTGTCATAAACATCACTGAAAGTTGTTAACTGCTGCGTTTGTTAGGAGTCAGGAACCCGCAGGGCGTCCCGATTCAGGGGCTGCATCCTTCGAGGGACGCGGTCTACAAAGGAGGAAGGACATTTCTCAGCCGCAAATGAAGGAACCTCCGAAACTGGACAGTGCCGCAGTGACACAATCGAAGGATGAAGCCCCTGAATTGGGACAAGGCTCCGGTCTAAGCTGAATGTGCTTCATGAGACTGACCCCAGCGCACTAAAAGTAAGTTTAGTCCAGTGAGTGTGTTCTTACCTTCTCAACCCCTCTGAGAAACTTCTCTGTTCCTGTGTAGTTCCTCTTGGGGTCTGTCAGCAGTTCGCACAAACGCTGGATAGTAAAAGGAATACTGTGTGGAAGGTAGAACATATTTGGTTGGTGACATTTTCTAACCAACAGGCCAACATTTACATCAAATGAACTTGACCACAAGCAGCAAATGCATAAGTGGCAAATATCTGTCTCTTCCCACACATGCAACAGTCAGTAGATGGCGCAGTTGCACAGGGGTAAGAGACTCTGGCCTCCTTACACTAGTACACAATCTCTCCCCCTCCAAAACGCAGCTTTGAACAGCAGGTCACATGATTCTTCATTACTACAAAGCTATTCACCCATTGTATCCGTTGACTATCTTCAGTATCCTCTCCTTCATCTCCTCGAATGGAACTGACTCTACATTGGGGTTTGCAGGTCCTCTCTGCTCTGGGGCTGAAGCTCGAAAGTCCTCCATTACCTTCTCCAGCTTGAACAGAAAGTAGTTTTTAAACTGCGACCATGAAACCCTGTCAGGAGGCAAACGCATAGACACATTCAGAAATGTTATTGTACAGCAGAACTTGCCTGACATTTCTTTTTGCCCAGGTTCAATGAAGCACAGCACTGAATTGTGCTGAATCACCTCACTGTGTCTTGTTGATACACACTGTGCAATACATCATAACTGCTACTGTAATAACACTCACTGCACACTTTAGACTGTAAATACTGCTGCTACTCCTAGTTATGTTTGCACTCGTTGTATTGTAAACGACCTCATACCACTTAGTGCACTGTCAGGAATTACGGTACTAAACTGTCACTGGGGTGTTTCCCTCAAGGGTACATCTCAGTACCTTTAGTGAGGGAACATGACTGAACCATAATCCACTGAAATGATATGTTCTAAGCTGTACTGACTCCACACACCCCGTCTCGTCTCCAGGTTTTTATTTTACTGTTCTGTTTTAAAACATTCGGTTATGAAAAGGTACAACTACGAACTTTTCACCTGGATAAACTTATTTAAGGTTCACAATCAGACCTTAAAACCACTTTTGTACCTTTGAGGGAACATTTACCTTATTTGTACCTCTATGAATGAAAAATGTTCCTGCACAGAACCTTTATTTCTAACAGTGTACAATACCTGCTCTCATGTAAATACAACAAATCTGCTTCATATACTATGTAAACATGTAAAGTTTTTTTTGGATCTCTGCCTATTTGTCTATTTTTTCTGGCTAATATATGTAAGTTTATGTGCAATTATGTGTCTATTGCTACTGTAACACTGCAATTCCCCTTCAGGATCAAATGTTCTATCTATCTATCTATTTATTGAATTATGGCCAGGCAATATTACAATATCTATTGTTATAGTGATAAATTGGCATATTATGTCACGTTATACTTCTTTGAGCATATCGTGGATAATCTTAGTACTTAAAGAACACAGATCAACTCTGTTTCATTACAAAGAGAGCATCATCAGTCCTGTTTAACTGGATTCATGTGTGAAACACTGAATAAATGTCAATCTATTTATAGCTTTGATTGTACTTTTACAAATTTGGCCCTGGTGGATTTTTTTGGTCTGTTCTGACTTACCAACCCTCAGAAAAAAAAAAAAATACTGTGATTAGGCTTAAAAAAAAACAATTAAAAGAATTAATTTCAATTAAATCACTAGTTTTTGTAGTTAATCAAGATTAATCACATTTGTCTTATTTGATCTAGCTTGACCATCTAAAAAAGCAGTCTTTGTTAAAGCTATATGAGTGAGTAAAGTGAGCTTCAACAGAATAGATCATAATCTGAGGGGTACTTAGTGTCTACTTTCTACTGCGTGCGTTTACATGCACTCAATAATCTGATCATCGTCGAATTTCTGCAGATATCCGATTATTCAAATGGTCATGTAAACAACACACTCTGATTTCTTACATCGCAGTAAGGTCTAGAAATCCGATTTAAAAATCCGATAAAGAGAGCTGGACTTTAGCTTAGTAATCAGATTTCTCTGTGCTGTAAACTCTTACTCGGATTCCTCAGTCTGCGCATGTGCGAAAACAGACGGTGGTACCGGAAATAAGCGAAACTAAATACATGCTTGACGAAATAAAGGATTTAAATATTCTTCTAGATCTGAGGTCTTCATATCTGCACCTTTAATCCGGTTTCCGGTCCTAGTTTTGTAGTCACTGGTAGTTAATGGAACTGTTGTTGCAACTGGTTGGCCAACTAGTATCATACGTCCCAGTGATTACAAAATCCAGGACTGGAAACTGGATTCAAGGCCCAGATTTAAAGACCCCTGTTCTACATGATGTATGTTCAACTTTTCAGGTAAAGTAAAAAAAAGCCGCTGCATGAAGTTTGAGTTTTACATTACATCACGTCGTCTTCTGTAAGTTTACTGGCCAGTTGCAAAGCAGACATCCGATTATTGCCTGACTCACGTAGACCCGGAGTTCTCCCATTATTACTTAAGTGCATGTAAACGCGTTGATTGGATAACTGACAATATCTGATTTTCTGCAGTTATCGGATTATTAAGTGCATGTAAACGCACTCAGTGTTTTATCAAACATGTGGATGTGGACAACGGCACATATTCCAGTGCCTTAATATTCATCTTCCAGCTGAAGATTTCTTAAATCGCAAACACGAGCAACTCCCACTGTACAGCTCGCGTGTGCCCACCGGTTCAATTTTACCCACCCTCATTTTTGATTAGTTACTTCATGACAAGACAAATGGAGCTTTTCTTCTTAAGTTGAACATGTATTAAATTTTATCCATGAAGATTTGAGGCAGAAAAAAATATGATCCGTTGTCTGAAAGCGGTCTTACACTTTGCTGTTGCTTGTCAGTTTCCTGCTTGTTAATTTATCCAAAGGTCTGCCAAAGGTAACGTCCAGCATAGCTGAATGTGTCCTCTGGTGCTAACGTTACTGATATTGCCTCATCTGAGGTAAGTTTTGCTTGTAAACGACATTTCAGACTTGAAATACTTCGTGATGAACAAATTCACAGCATGGTAGAAGCTGAAAATTACTTTTACCAAGAGAGAAGCCGGTGGAAGTTGTTGCCATTTAAAAGCTGTAACTGAACGACAGAGCTACAGTCGCGGAGTCACAGCAGCAGCACGCAAGCAGCTGGGCTTCAGGGTGGAACTAGGGATGGTTTAAAGCAGGGGTTCTCAACCTTTTCTACCCAAAGACCCACCTGTTTATAACTATAAAGCATAGCAGCCCACAGAAAAATAAAAACGTTTTTTAAAAAGCTTTTTTTTTTCTTAATTGTTCACACTGAAAACCTGTGAATTAGGGCCTGAAAAAGACCAGATCGCCTATTTCAGTTCAATCACAGAAACCAAAATTTACAGTTTTGTTTAAAAACATACCTTTGCAGAGATGTCAAAAAAGGGGGACAAAGAAAAAAGGTCGATGTTTATGTGGACTGTGATTTGGAGCTGCAGTCCATCGCATTTTCTCTGAAAATACTCTTATGGTTTTTCCACAGGAGTCACTGTTTGGTCTGGAGTCTCTTTAGTTAAGCGGGTTTTAGCGCCTGATCTGAAATAAACCTCACTCCACTCAGTGGGGTCTTGGATTAGCGTCATCACATTCAATGATAATAATTCAGTCAGGAGTTTATCTAGTTGAGTTTAACTACTCATGTCTCTGATGCTCGACCAAAAATCAAACACATCTCTTCGCTATTATTTTAAGGCTCGTCTGTCGTTTTTATCAGCTGCTGCTCGAGCTGCAGGAACGAAACGAGAGTCTGTAAAGAGTCAGACACTAAAACAGGCAGTGTATACTGACAGTACAGCGCTGACGTGCTGCTAGAAGAAGAAAGTAGGCTCTATTGACAAATTCCCTCGTTTGATCATAAAATACGTTCCCACCAACAGTGAACTAAACAGGGTTCGGTTGGAAGCGGACCGAGACCGGTTTAGCTGTGTGATGCACACCCAAATATGGGTGGAGTGTCCACACATGTCTAAAGAGAGCAAACTAAAGAAAAAACTTTGACAGGTCCACATCAAACAAGGTAGGAGAAAGTGCCCAAGGGAACCTCCCCATCTCTGGCTCACTGTGTGCCCTGTGTGCCCTGCATGCTCGCAGCTGCGTCTCAAACTTATTACATTCAATTATTCTGCCACTGCGATGTTTTTATAACTACGTCTCTGTTAATATTCATATTGGTTATAATTCAGAAACGTTTGATTCTTTGATTTTTAATTATCAGCCCTAAGTTAATCTTTTCTCCACTAATGTTTTTATGACTTACAGTGACGTTACCAGCCCACTATGAACTACCTCCTCCCCCTGAGAACAGGCCCGCGGGTGGTCTGCGCCCACAGGTTGAGAAACCCTGGTTTAAAGGGTCAAACTAAGAAAATGAAACTAAATATTTAGCGAAGTTAATCATATCACGTTAACTTTGAAACTACTGATTGCATGTCGCGTACTGAGGTATCGCAATATTATATTTTTGCTATATTTAGCCCAGTGCCAGGTTCAAAGTGAAAAAAGTTAAGATAATTCCTACACAATACTTACATGGTTTCCCCGGTCTTCGCAACATGGCACAGGAACTGGTCCAACACTGGAGAGACTTCTTTTTTGCCTTTCTTGTCAAAATCTGAGGGCACAAAAGTATTTCAGTTTCAGCTGCACTTTTCTCAGACGGTATTAACAGTTTCAGGAATTGGTTTTAATAGCATTTAATCTTTCCAGGCAAAGCAAAAGCTGCCCTCCACTTACAGGACCTCAACACCATAAGCATCTTCAAAGACTGAACCGACTGATCACAAGGCTTATATTACATTCACAGTATTCTGACGTACGAGTAACTAAACAAGTTACGTTCACATTACCAGGTTGGCACAAATCCGATTTTTTGCCCTAATCCTGATGTTTTCAGGGCTGTGTGGACACGCAAATCTGATCTTTTCAAATCTGACCTGAGTCACTTGGATATGTGGTCCTAGATCGGATACGTATCCGATACGTGGCCATGCGACCTTAATGTGACGCTCAGATCGGTATTCATGTGCTTTTTTCCACTGCGCGTGCGCCATCATTCAGTGTTACCATGGCAGCAGCGCCGAACAGAAGTTAAAGCCTGTAAACGGTGGAAAAGCAGCTCATCTCACCTTTTTCTCCTTCGTCTCGCTCTAATAATGAAGCTGAGAGCTGATCAGAGTTAATTATCTTCTCAGCGAAGCTCGTTCTGCTCGTTAGTTTGTGCTGATGATGAACGTGATTCATTCACATGACGTTACTGAGTAGGATGAGCTCATGAGGGTCATTTCAGGTTCGTCACATTAATGACAGATTTGAGTCACTTACCCAAACGAGCGCGAACCATCCTGTCAGAGAGATCGGATTTGAGTAAAAAATCGGATTTGAGCAATGAGGCTTGTGATGTGAACGTAACTTAAGCAATTTGACAACTCGCTTTACTCAGACAATATCAATTATAGTTATTAAGATATATATTTACATTCTAAGTGCAGAAATAAACTACTATTTCCTCCCTTTTGTTTTAATTAAAAGAGTGTGACGTAGTATGTTAGAAGTTTCCGAACGTACCATTTTCTCCCTGATCCATTTATGGAAGTCACGCTGCAAAAACAGCCAATTATTTTTATGATGTCACAAAAAAATAGTGCATTCTGATATATTCAGCCTATGTTAGTTTGACTCTGCCCAATTACAACAAGTTATAAAGCGAGTTTCAGTCTGGATTACTTTTTAAATAAGGCAAAATACAGGACAGCCAATAAGAACAGATTTCATTTGCATATATTAGTCTTAAAGGAACAGTACCGGAAAAAAAAGTTTAATTCTACGGGGAAAAAAAAGAGAAATGGTCATATAAAAAGGACCTTTGGTGAACTCCACTTTCATTGTTTGGGCCATATAGCCGGTTAAAGGGGAATTTCACCACTTTTTCACCAATTTTTGCTTAATTCCGTCATCACAATGTAATCAAAGTCATTCAGAGTGGTTTGATATGAAACGGTTAATTGTAGAGAAAGTTACAGACTGAAATTTCTTTACAGTGGTGGTGGAGTCAGGGGTCGATGTGTCTACAACACAGATTTAGCCACTTTATTTACTATCCAAAACCACCAGTGAACCTACACCTGTCTTGTGAGCTTTAATATATAATGTTGATACTGGTAAAATAGTAGTAAATCTGAAAATTATATAACTTTTCTTTGGGGACTACTTGCCTCAGAACGCCCTACAGGTACCCCCTCACCATGAGTGGATTAAAAAAATGGATAAACAAAACGTTTTAGGCCAAAAACTTGATCACATAACTATCATAAAACAATGTTTCAGACATCAGGCTGAGTAAGGAAGCTTTTAAAGGTGGACGTCTGGTTCCTATCACAACCACTGTGAAAAATTCCGACTCGGCAAGTTTCTCTAAAACAGAGCACTTCACACCAAAACACTCTGAATGTCTCTGCTTACATTTAAATAATTTATTTAGGTGGAACTTTCGAAAAACGGTGGAGTTCCCCTTTAACTGAGCAGCTAACCTAGCTCGCTAGGGTCGAAAACTCGCTGTACTCAAGACTGTTAGCTGGACGGCTAAGCTAACAGGCTTGCTGTCTAAATCCACAAGACGGAAATTCGCTTCAGCGTCCTAAGGTTACTGAAATGTCGGAGTCGGAGTCGAGGACACGAAGCGACAACGGCTCGTTTCACATGAAGCAACACAAAAGTCAGAAACTAAGAAAAGAACCAGCCACTTCACTCAGCGGTGTCGCTAGCGTTAGCCGCTAGCTGGCTAACCCCATCTAACTAACAGCCCCGCTCCCCGCCAACGGTACCAGAAACGACCCGAAAATAGACCGCCAGAACCTTTCAGAGCCTCGAGGAGAGCATCGATCTCCATGTCTGCGAGGTGTGAGCTTGTGGATCCAGGAGGAGGCAGAGTGCCGTCGGCCGCGGTTCAGAAACAGAGGAGGATAAAAAGAGGAAAAGGAAAATATTTCAATATGGCGTTCGTGATGTCACCGGCCGAGACCGGCTGCCGCCGCCGCGGCTGCTCTGAGGAGAGTTAGCTGCGCAACGTAGCTGAGCAACACTGAGCGAGGAACGAGCTGATGGGCCTGTTTATAACCCAGCAGCTCTCACCCCAACTCTGATCTGTGGTTTATGATTTATGATTTATGGAAGCCTTTTCCACCACTGGAAAAAAATAATCCATTTAGTAAGTAATAACAATGAGAAAGTTTTCCATAATGACTTAGTATCTCATAATTATGACTTGGTATCTCATAATTATGACTTAATATTTCATAATTACGACTTAGTATCTCATTAGTATCTCATATTCATGACTCAGCATCTCAATTGTGACTTAATATTTCACATTTATGACGTAGGGTGTGATTATCGTATAATTATGACTTAATATCTCAGAATTATGACTTAGTATCACAACGATTATGGCTTAGTATCTCATAATTATGACTTGGCATCTCATTAGTATCTTATAATCATGACTCAGCATCTCAACTGTGACTTAATATTTCATAATTATGACGCAGGATGTCATTATCTTAGAAGTATGCCTTAATATCTCATAATTGTGACTTAATATTTCATAATTATGACTCACGATTATGAGTATCTTGTAATTATTGCTTGTATCATAATTATGAGTTGCTATCATGATAATGATATCCTGTCTCATAATTATGACTTAGTATCTCATAATTTTGTCCTGATATCTCATTATTATGACTCGTATCTCGTAGTTATGAGTTAGCATCTCAATTGTGACTTAATATTTAATAATTATGACTTAGTATCTCACGATTATGTGTTAGTATCTCATAATTATTACTTGATATCTCTTAATTATGACTTGCTGTCATGATAATGAGATCCTGTCTCATAATTATGACTTGATATCTCATAATTTTGAGATATTGATATCTCGTTATTATGACTAATTGTCTCATATATAGAAGTTAACATATCAATTGTGACTTAATATTTAATAATCATGACTTAGTATCTCATTAGTATCTCATAATTATGACTCAGCATCTCAATTGTGACTTAATATCTCATTATTATGACTAAGTATCTCATAATTATGAGTTAGCATCTCAATTGTGACTTAATATTTCATAATTAGGATGTTATTATCTTATAATTATGACTTAATGTCTCATAATTTTGACTTGATATCTCATTATTAAGACTAAGTATCTCATAATTATGAGTTAGCATCTCAATTGTGACTTAATAATTTATAATTATAAAATTTGAACAGGAAAATTCGAACAAGCTGGCGAATATCTGACTTTTTAGGGGTGGGTGATAATAAATAATTGCCCCCCTCTTTGAAAGCATATGATTCCCTAAATGTAACTAAAGCCCAGCAGTGAGGAGCTGAACTTTACCCTCCTCTGCTGTCACTGCAGACTGGCAGGGTCGCCTACAGAGCAGCGCTAGTAGCTGTTAATGAAGTAATGCTCTTTTTTATTTCAGGGTCCCATTTCAGAGGGAAGATTTCAACCACTACCCCCTGCAACTCAGTTCCAAAGGGCAAGGAGACTCTCGAAAACAAGGGGTAGGGGTAAAAATAAGAAATGGGATTGGACCATGATGACTATCTACATGGAAATTCCCACCCTTCAATAAATGAGCCAGTCAGCTTGCTGTTTAAACCGCAAGCAGGAAAAGTCCCTCTCGTTGTGGGGATGTACGCATGCGCGATAGACAGAACAAGCTGAAAAAATGCAGCATCATGACTGCGTTTCATAATTATGACCTAGAATCCTTAATTACAACTTAGCATCTCAGAATTATGGCTTAGCATCTCAAAAATTGTAGTTTCTGTGTGTTTTTTGAGCCAAACGCTACAAAATATTTTATGTAATAATCTGTTTTGTCAGCTTTTATCAGCGGTTTCGGATATGTTTTTGAAACATTAACATGTTTTGGTTTTAAAGGTCTCCCCATATTCAGAAAGACAGGAGCCTACTCTGTATGACTGGGAATAACAGCCTGGGGGTAAAAACGTGGTGAAATGCCTTTCTTTTTGTTCTTGTTAGCCGTGTAGCATCTAACAAGCCTGCTAACAGAAGAAAGTGATGAAGTTGTATCAGCAGTATGTATGACAGATGGAGTAGAAGCCAGCAAATCAAATGTATGGTTTTGAAATGTTAAGCACTTTGAAGTTGTTTATTGCTGTAGCTTATAAACAGCTTCGTCTGCCATTATTTTTGGGTTTGAAAAGGGAAATGCGTCAGGTTGCAATGATTTTTGGGTAAGTTCTGCCGCTGATGTTGACACTGGTGTTCCCTCTGTCCCTCGCCCCTCCGAGGGCTCATCCAACACCCTTCACGTGAGCTAATGAAGTAACGGAACAGCCCTTAAGATGCATATGGCGTTGGGGACCCGACCTGAGGGGGAATGACGAGGTCGAGTGGACCAGAGCTTGTTAAAACCAGCAATGAAACGGGGACAAGGGCTGTTTTTTGGTTCTTCCACATGTTGCGTGCAATTACACATTTCCAGATTTCTAAATCCACCAAAACTTACATTGTGCAGCTTTAAATGTGGCAAGAAAATGTGAGATATTTTCACTGATCTCATGTCAGTTTTGTTTTATGGAAGGTCATTAAATTACATCAAACATATTAAATATAACTTCATAATCTACACTGGAAATTTTGGTTTAAATATAAAGCAAGGAACAAATGCAGTGCATACATATGCTCCAATTGCTCCATCGCTCAGGTGCCTGTTGTACAATAACTACGTCATGAAATATCGGTCAAATGTAAAATTTTATTCTTATTCTAAGTCTCTATATCCTACACTTTTCTTGTATTTTATCCCCCCCCTCCACTTATAACATTTGTATGTTGAGGTATTAAAAAAAATTAATCAATAATCATTAAAAAAAATATAAATTAATTATACATGACCATTTCAGCCTCTTTTTATCTCTTAAACAGGCTATTTTTGTTACTGTACCTTTAAGACTGATACATGTACATGAGCTCTGCTCTGATTGGCTAACCTGTATTGAGCCTCATTCAAAAAGCAGTACAGGCTGAAACACTCCGTATAACCGATAGGGGCTTTTAGGCAACTACCTACCAATAAATAATGCCAATATTACCGTATATTAATATGAATTAGATGTTTTTTCCATGCTTGGTAGGATCCATCAATCCTAACATGCCCACTACCTCACACAGAATAGACAGAGAAAATAGCTGTTGTCTACATTTTGTGCAATATTTATATAGAAATCATATAATTTACCGCTGAAAAGCTGATGATGGAAGATCTAACATTGATAACAGGGGCCACAACTATGGAAAAACCACATCTGCCAAAATGAAAGATAAATAAAATTAAAAATAAATGACTCAGTAAATTAATATATGAATTAGAAAAATAAATAAAAAAAATAAATAAATAAATATACATAGAAATTAAAATATATATACATAAAACCTTACATAAATTAATTAGTCTGCATTTACTTCAATGTCTGTTTGGTAATTTCCCCTCCTAATTTTTATATTTATTTTTTATATTTTATATTTATTTTTTGTTATGTTTCTTTATCATTTTTTCTTTTTTTATTCTTTCCATAATTATTTATTTCTGTATTTCCTCGTCCTTATGATAATAAAGGGGCTGTCAATCAATGATGTCACGGTGTCTTAATATTCCTATTGATTGATCGATATCAGATTCTATAGATCAATTGTTCTCGTCTTGCTCTATCAGCAGTAACTAAGGACAACACAGGACAACAGTGGCTGCTTACAGGCAGCAGATGGCCAGAGATCTGAGATTATTGACTCTTCCGTTGGAGGCTGTGGGGACTGTTTGTTCCATTTTGCTGATCTGCTGATACAGAGGTCGACCCGTAGTGTTCAGAACTGAACACTTTTGTCTGTCGGTGACACTGCAGTCCTTTATGGAGTGAAAGAACAGTTTAATCAGCTCTTCTCCTCCTGGTCTTGATTGCCAAGCCTGAACGTGAAAAACACGCCCCCTCATTATCATATGAACGAAGAAATACAGAAATAAATAAACGAATTAATGGATCAATAAATAAAGCGAACAATCGTTAACAATATAGATCCAGAAAATAATATAAAAATGAAGAGGCATTAATAAAATAAATAAATAAATAAATTGAGAAATATATAACTGCAGAAAAAATAAATGTGTATAATTACAAGCAAAATAAGCAATATATACTATATTTAGTTATTTTTATTTATTGACTAATTTACTTGATTATTTATTGTTTAATTTTATTTATTTTTCATTTTGGCAGATCTGATCCTCCACACACGACAGCCAGTTTAACCTGAAATACTCATCCCAGTCATATTCCCCTCTCACACAAGTACAGTATGATGAGGTTGGACTTCTCAGTGTTATTTGTCAAAAAAAATAATAGCACAAATTAATTTAAACTGTGAAGGACATTTTTGTCCCCAGACATGGAAAAAAAAGTCCATTTGGCTCCAATCTCAATGAATGTCTCTTCAGAATGTGCCAAGGTACTAAAAGTGATGAGCTTTTTTACAATGAAAGTATGAATTGATTAGAAAAATAAGCTTTTCTTTTATGCATATTCATTTATTACATTTCTGACATGCACGGACTCTGCGTAAGATATAAAAAACACATTCATCTCAGTAAATACATGTAGGCGAGAATGTAAACCATGTGCACGTCTCAGAGACAAGGCGGAAAATGTAGTGAGTGTCTGTATGTTTGTGTTTCCAGGTTGAACAACTGATCAGATTCATTTCTCAGCAGTGAGATGATGCTGGAAATCCAGTCACATATAAGAAGAAAACGCACACTGTGCTGATTTTCACAGATATCAAATTATTTACAGCACTTCCACTTATGTTTCATCACGGAAAATAAAACAAAACATACATACATACATATATGTATGTGTATATATATATATATATATATATATATATATATATATATATATATATATATATATGTATGTATGTATATATATATATATATATATATATATATATATATATATATATATATATATATATATATATATATATATAACGACTTAAGAGCATTAGCAATATATAGATGGAAATACAATACCAAGCAATACAACACGTAGCAGAGATGAGCACATGGTTACATTTTCTCAGGATGTAATTGGCTTCAATAAGGCTATGAGTACAGTTTGGTGGTTGGCAGAAAAAAAGAGAAGTAAAAAGCTTTATATGGTGTCTGTACCTCATTATAGGCATAAGGCATTCACTGTTTTAAATGTGATGTAGTCTTGGGTGTATTTAAAGGGCAATTTCACCACTTTTTCAAAATTTCTGCATAAAATTTCAGTCGTTGAGACGCAAACAAAGTCATTCAGAGCAGCCTGATGTGCAAAAAACGTATTGACTCGGCTATCACTACAGTGGTAGTGATAGGAACCAGGGGTCACAATGTCTACAACACAAATATAGTCATTTTATTTACTATCCAAAACCACCAGTGAACCTACAAGTGTCTCGAGTTTTTATATGTGATGTTCATAACAGCAAAACAGTGCTAGATATGTTTCCTTTGGCAACTGGTATGTATCCCTCTACACTGCATGTATTTTAAACATAGTTTTATGCAAAGCTTTCGGCCTAAAATTGATCATAAAACAACGTCACAGCCATCAGGCAGCATTTTTGTAGCCGTAATTGTAGTAACTTTCTCTGAGGGAGCTTTTAGAGGCATTAAACTCTTCAGACATCTGGTTCCCATCGCCACAACTGTAAAGAGCCTGATGGCAAGAGGATAGTGGGCCACTGTTGGCCTGCTGATGGAAAAGCTGGCGGACCACTGGCACTTTGCTCCGCGTTTACTGGGCGGCCCACTGGTGTTTAAGCAGAGTATTAGACAAAATTCCACTTATCATCACTCATTTTCCACTAACAGTCCAATTTCCTTATTTTTCCTTCCTTCCTTTCTTTAGGTATACTTAATTCAGCACAGTGTCAGCAAACTTTTCTATAAAATCATTTTTCATTAGGCCTTTTTCTCTTAAGTTGTTTGTAATATTTGAGTTTATTTTCTAAAATAAAAGGCTCTGTGCATTTAAAATCTGTATGGGGAGATTAAAAACTAGTTAGAGCTTATATGCAGAACAATAATCTGGGTGGTCTGAGGGAGGACCAGCGGCGGCAAACAGTCAGCGGGGTGCCGACCTTATCAAGCCAGCGGACCGATCTTTGTTAGCCCCCTTTTACCCTGTTCTTCACTGGTCAGGACCCCCACGGACCCCCACAGAGCAGGTACAGGTACTGGGTGGTGGATCATTCTCAGCACTGCAGTAACACTGATGTGGTGGTGGTGTGTTAGTGTGTGTTGCGCTGGTCTGAGTGGATCAGACACAGCAGTGCTGCTGGAGTTTTTAAACACCTCAGTGTCGCTGCTGGACTGAGAATAGTCCACCAACCAAAAATATCCAGCCAACAGTGTCCTGTGGGCAGCGTCCTGTTACCACTGATGAAGGACTAGAGGATGACCAACACAAACTGTGCAGCAGCAGATGAGCTATCGTCTCTGACTTTACATCTACAAGGTGGACTGACAAGGTAGGAGTGTCTAATAGAGTGGACAGAGAGTGGACACAGTGTTTAAAAACTCCAGCAGCACTGCTGTGTCTGATCCACTCAGACCAGCACAACACACACTAACACACCACCACCACGTCAGTGTTACTGCAGTGCTGAGAATGATCCACCACCCAAATAGTACCTGTTCTGTGAGGGTCCATGGGGGTCCTGACCACTGAAGAACAGGGTAAAAGGGGGCTAACAAAGTATCAGAGAAACAGATGGACTACAGTCTGTAACTGTTCACCTATATAGTAAGTGGAGCTGATAAAATGGACAATGAGTGTAGAAACAAGGAGGTGGTCAGAATGCCTGATCAGTGTTTGCTCGCTGTCTGGGGAAATCTGTGTTGGTATGGTTTTTAAGCATTGAGCATTTTTTATCTCACCATTCTGAATGACTGTTTATTTCTTAAGCGTTTAATTATGCAGAGGTTTCGAAAAATCGTTGAAATTGTCAGTTTCTAGCACAGAATTAGTTATGTTATTATTAATAATGATCTAATTTGCTTGAAATGACCAAACATTAGCTGATGAGCTGATTCAGATCAGAGAAAATGCTGAACTCTGTGGTGCTAACCTGCACCCCTGACGGACACTCCTGATTCAAAACCTCACTGTGAATACAGTGACAGAGAAGCATTTCGCTGTTGTCTGAAGAAAACCTTGTATCTCCATTTTTGACTTTTTTCCGTTTTTCTACACAATTTGAATGAAAATACCTGTTGCCCTTTACATTGTATGTAAATTTCACAATGAACAGACTAAAAGAAATGACCTAAAATGACTTACATTAAAAGCAGAGCAGGTTTTATTCTTCTCCTGTAAAGTTACCATTGTGGAGATACAAGGTTTTCTTCCGACAACAACGATTCGTTTTCTTCAAGAACATTCTAGATCTTCAGGTCTGACAACACGACCCACATTCAAGTGCAGCAGCAACGTCCACTGATCTCGCCTGACCCGTTAACTGGTCCATAGTTGAATTTTCAACATGGCTTTGTGTCTGCCAACTGTGTGCTAAGCAGTTCTCCTCATGTGGCTTTTCTCGTAACATCTTCAGTACTTGGGTTCTTTGAAAATGCAATGTGTGCAAACTGTATGACGAAACAGGTTTTCTTTAAAAAATCATCTTCTCCACCGTTCGTTCCACTTTACGGATACATTCTGGCGATTCTACATACACCAATCAACCACAAGGTCCATGTCATGTCATCCTTACTGAGTGTCTTACTGCTCATCCTTTGAGCCCTTCTTTAGTGGTACTCTTATTTGGAGACCAACTCCTGAGTCAAGCTGCCATTTATTCCATTGAAATCCACTTCAGTCCATCCACGAAGCTCTCCTTCATGCTCTCCAGGCGGAGGATGCTGGTCTGGAGGCCACACCAGAAGTCCTTGGTATTGCACATCTTCCATTTCTAAAAACATTCTGGTGGAGAATCAGCGCTTCACCTTGTCGTTCCCAGGCGGCTCTCGGAGCAGTTCAGCGTCGCTGTCTGTGTGGCGCTCGAGCATGCCGGATCACTTTCTGCTCAAAAACGGCCTTCATGGTCTTCTCGATCTGTTTGAGGAACACCTGAGGAATTCTGCCGCACAGCGTGTTGACCGTGTCCAGGAATTTGGTCTGGAGAGGGTAAAACAAGGACTGGAACAGGTTTTCCCCAAAAGGATACTGAAACACAAGAGAACAAAAGACGCAGTGAGAAATATGTTTAAAGAATAAATAACGGAGGTTGAATGAATGACCTTTTTCATTCCAGCACATTTCATATCAACTTCTGAACAGCAGAGGGGGCGCGTAACCCTGCTAGACGATGGACTTCCTACTGAAGAGACGGCTTCCTGATGTAAAACTCTTCAAAGGGAAAGTAGAGGAGAATACAATAATACAAAGTCACAATGCAGCCGCAACACTTTCAGTTTGTTTTCTTTAAAGCTGAAAAGAAAGAGGATGAAGAGAATTACATAGAAAATGGAATTTCTCTGCTTTCCAGCCACAAATAAATACCATTTTATACTTTATACACTATATGGAAAGTCTGTAGACACGTCCTCATACAGCAGTTCTTCTGATATCAAGGGTACTCAAAGGCTCATATCATGGAAAACTGAAATTTGAAATAGAGAAGAGTTTGATGTGGTATATAAATAATGGTAAAGTGACATGCCACTCACTTCCCACACTGTTTTTGTGATGTCAATACAACCAATGCATTTATACACTGATCAGGCATAACATTATGACCACCTCCTCGTTTCTACACTCATTGTCCATTTTATCAGCTCCACTTACTATATAGGTGCACTTTGTAGTTCTACAGTTACAGACTGTAGTCCATCTGTTTCTCTGCATACTTTGTTAGCCCCTTTTACCCTATTCTTCAGTGGTCAGGACCCCCATGGAAACTCACAGAGCGTACTATTTGACTTTATTCACCAGAAGCTGATGAAACATGAACAATTATATTTAATACACTTGTACTATTTTTTATCGGAGGGTAAAAGTTTAGAGGTTACTTACATCGCGTATGGCATCGTATATAACTTTGAAGGCTGGCTGCTTGTCGTCGTGGTAAACTCCACGGTTGCCATGAAGAATGGACACACCCTCTTCCTCTGCCCCCTTGCAGTTACTGCCGTACATGCAGTGATCAGGCCTGTAGTTCCACTGGCAGGGAAATGTGTACAGGCATTCTACAGAGGCACAAAATAAAATTACATTTATATTAATTGTGAGTAATCAAATCAAATCAAATCAAATTTATTTGTATAACGCTTTTTACAACTGATGTTGTCACAAAGCAGCTTCACAGAAATCCGTTTAGAACAAAGTTTCAACATGAACTGTAAATCCTCCAGGTGAGCAAGCCAGGGGCGACAGTGGCAAGGAAAAACTCCCTCAGAGCTGAGGAAGAAACCTTGGGAGGAACCAAGGCTCACATGGGGGGACCCATCCTCCTCTGGTCAAACTACGTACAAAATTATTATACTACTAATATTAATAGTAGTAGTAGTAATAGTTAGGAGTAATCACCTTTGTCTTATTTGCCCCTATTAATTTGATCCTAAGGATCTTTTTTCTATTTAAAAATGAGTGGACAAAACAAACCCAATCAGAATGTAGTGGCAGTAATGTATTACTTTCAATAATTCAGTAATATAATTGTCATCATGCGAACGCAGAACCTGAATTTGAACATCACGATTTCCACAGAGTGAATGCAGTTTCCATTTTTCATCACCAACGTCCAGTGAGAGCAACAGTGTCTGCACGTTCCAACCAATGAGTGCGTATGTATCACATACACAGTCAATGGTTAAACTCCTCTGTGATTGTAGCCTTTCACTCCTGTTCATACAGCTCATGGATTCTTGTTACAGTGGAGGCTTTCAAGGTTTAGCTTTAAAAATAATTTCAGAACTGTATTTGAATGAAAGGGCTACAGTCATAGATTGTTTCATAGCAACATGCAGTGCGCTGCAGCTGGGCTTCACCCAGCACTACAATATGAATCATTCTGTTGACTTGCTTTAAAGTCAAAAAAGTTTACTAAATTGCAGAATTGAAAATCTGTGTTTCCATAGTGATAATTCTTAATGTTCCACACTGATTTTCAGACTTTGGGACACATTTACTTCAAAACAATGGGATCTAACTGCTCACCATGTGGCCATGAGGGACAGGGATGCAGCCTCACTTCCTGCTCTAAAATGCAGGGGCGTGGCTAAAATAAGGCTCCGCCTATAGACTAAAATTCTTTGTGTTTCAGGAATGACATGAAAACATGGGACATTTTTATTAAGGTGTTTTTATTATAAAACTCATGAAAATCTAAATCTTTCAACTTCACTAAAAGAAATAAAAATGTGAAATACAAAAAAAGTAATTTTGATTTTCACAAGTGTAAATTTAGGGGTTAGGGTTTAGGACAGACACCTCCCAATAGAAAATACACTATAAATGATGATTTTGTGTATCGCTGTTGTCAGAAGGAAACCTTGTATCTCCAAAATGGTAACTTTATAGGAGAAGGAAAAAACCTGCTTTACTTTTTTTCCAAGTCATTTTGGGCTGTTTCTCTTGGTCCATTCATCATGAAATTTACATACAATGTAAAGAGCAACAGGCGTTTTCAAATTATGTAAAAAACTGAAAAACGACAGAAATGGAGATACAAGTTTTTCTTCCGACAGCAGTGATATACTTAACTCATTACTATCTTAATTAATACCTTGGGTTTAAATAGATCATAACATAATCCTTGGAAATGGTTTGAATTTTTTATTCATTTTCATTTAAATGTTTTTTTAAATATATTTTTGGTAGAATGGTCCATATATATATATATATATACACACACACACACACACACACACAAAATAAGAACTGCAAGTACTAAACACCATTACAAAGACAAATGCACAAACGAGTCAGTCTAATTTAATTCATCTGTATATATAATTATTATATGCATTGTTAGTAAGTCAAGCCAACATGCTTGTTTGTCACATCCATTCCACACATTTTTGAATGCTTGTCACCGGGTCTTTTTTTTCTTTGGGCACAATCCAGTACAATCATCAAACAAACACAGCCTGTGCCAAGTCTCCTTCATCACCACGAGCACTTAATCCCCACACCTGGCTCTGAGTTTGTCACAGCCGCTCCGGGCTAGCGGAGTGTTTACCTACACACAGAGCTGCTCTTTCATCTGTCAAATCCCGTTCAGACTGCCGAGTTTACTTTCCGAAGGTTCGCTCAGAAAGAGGGCGCGGGGGAAAAAGTGCCTCCTCTTATATCTGGACGATCGTATTGATTTTCTGACAAGGGTCGAAAAGGATGAGGCAGGTTAGTTTAGTCCAGCAAAGCTCACTACACCCCTCAGCTAACAGGGTTTGAGCTTTGAAGCTGGTCTATAAAGCACAACCTGTGAGCTTTTAATGTAATAATCTCCAAATATCTTACGAACTCAAAGTCAAAGTCAATCAGCCGTGTAAGGCAAGCTTTTACTTCACCTTCAAGGGGCGAAGGGAGGCGGCGGGGGGGTTGGGGGGGGGGTTGTGTAAGTACTTGCTCCAGTGATGCAAGACCTAATCTAGTTCAGATAATTACACAGCCAATTATAATATTAGGTGATTAAGGAAATTAATCTAATTAAGTGGTGTGGTGCTGTTTAAGGAGGAAAAAACTAAAATCCCACAGACTTGCACTGATATTTCCATGTAAAATATTTATAATGTCTTTGCATAATTATTCATTATTAAGTACTTAGTAGGGGTGCAGCGATATGGAAATTTTATGCTGATAACTGATATTTTTTCATAACAACACCCACTGTCCACTTTATTAAGTACCAAATAGGAGCACTCTGTAGTTCTACAATTACAGACTGTAGTCCATCTGTTTCTCTGCATACTTTGTTAGCCCCCTTTTACCCTGTTCTTCAGTGGTCAGGACCCCCACAGGACCACCACAGAGCAGGTACTATTTGGATGGTGGTGTTGCCCTGGTCTGAGTGGATCAGACACAGCAGTGCTGCTGGAGTTTTTAAACACCTCAGTGTCGCTGCTGGACTGAGAATAGTCCAAAAATAGCCAACAGCGTCCTGTGGGCAGCGTCCTGTTACCACTGATGAAGGACTAGAGGATGACCAACACAAACTGTGCAGCAGAAGATGAGCTGTTGTCTCTGACTTTACATCTACATGGTGGACTGACAAGGTAGGAGTGTCTAATAGAGTGGACAGTGAGTGGACGCAGTGTTTAAAAACTCCAGCAGCACTGCTGTATCTGATCCACTCGTCCCAGCACAACACACTAACACACCACCACCACGTCAGTGTCGCTGCACTTCTGATAATGGAGCTATGATGCTAATGTAGTTAAGTAATTAATGCATATATCCCCCCCAATTAGCATGGTGCTAATTGGTGCATGCTTAAATCATCACGCATTTGCCTCAAATCTGTTGAGTCCACACTGAAGTTATAAGGAGTGTTTTAGCCTGGACTGCTTTTTAAATGAGGCACAATACAAAACAGCCAATCAGAACAGAGCTCATTCACATATAACATTCCTAGGCAGAGTAACAGAACAGCCTGTTTAATTTTAAGGTAATAAGGCTGGAAAATGGTCATGTAAAAAAAGGAATAATTTTGTTTTGGTGTATAAATGCGCACAAAAGTCAAAAGGGTAGGACATGGACCCTTTGAGTGATTATAAATAGACTTGCTTATGTAGTTTATGACCCTGTATGACTTTGTATACTGTTATACAGGGTGATTCAAAAAGATTCATCCGATTTCAAAGCGCCATATTTTTACAACCGTGAGGTGCCTAGGAACCAATCACAATCCAATTGAAAGAGGGGGTCATAGAGTTTCTGACTGTCATCTCCTCTTGGTGGCTCCCTTCAGTCTGAGAGGAGATGAGACCCCTGAGCAGAAAGTGTTCTGCGTTCTCCACTTCAATAAGAGCGAATCTGTCATAACTGTGCAGAGTGATTTTCGTGGGCAGTGAAGCTCCAACAGCTCAGAGCGTTCGTCGTTGGTTCCACAACACTGGTTGATCTCCGAAATCGCACTGAAAGAGCCGTGAGTGCAGCGACACCCGACATGCTCAATCCAGTATGGGATGAATCTGACTATGGCGTTGATGTTGTCTGTACAGCTGGAGGAGGTTCATACTGAGACCTTGTACAATTACATAATAAACTTTATGCTCATTTACACTATTTACAGTTTACTGCATTGATCTGTAATTATTTACAAGTAAAATAAATCATTTTGAAATCGGATGAATCTTTCTGAATCACCCTGTATTAACTGGTGGCTTTAAACTTCCATTACACATTAGCTATGTAGCAGCAGTGAGCAAAGGAAGTAAATTTGGACGCCAAACAGGTAAAGCCGGTCATGTAAACTGTGCAAAATTTAATCCAACCATCATTTTACTGTCAGAGTGAGTGTTCAAAGCTTTACTCCAACCATTTTACAGTTCATCTGAGTTTAGTCCAGAGAAATGAGCATCAAATAATCGAAAGCAGCTTTTGAACAACTGTAAAAGTACCTGGATTGTAGTGGAAAATAATGTTGAGGAGGTCCTGGTCCCCCCACGTGATGTGATTCTTGTATTTCTGGTAAAGCGGATGAAGCAGGTCCTCCCATGACAGGCCGCCAGCTATCATGCTGTTCTGTAAAATCAAGAGTGGCAGGTTATTTTCTTCGACGCCGAGGCTGGCGGCTTACTTTCAGACATCTGTTCATACAGAAACGACAGCCTTTCTTTCCCCTTCAGAAGAAGTTTCCTATTCATTTTTCCCAAGGTCTTCTGAAAAAGTAACCAGGTTTGAAATTACAGCTCTTTGTGGGTTTCAGAATTATGCTAATTCAAACTCAAGACACCCACATAGGCACTTCAGAGTGCAATCAGCAGACTTCAATCTGCAGCTGCTCGTACAGGCACTGAGTCGCGTCGGTTAGAAGGGTTCATGTGAGTAGAAATCTCAAGGACATGTGAGGACTTAAGCCTCGGGCGACTGTCAGATGCAACAAACCACAAAGGATGTACACGGTAAGCACTGCGGCTCAAAGCTTGATTAAGAAAAATAGCACCCCCCCCAACACGCCGTTTAAAAATAGCTACATGACCCTTTACTTGCAAAAGTTTCCAGCATCAGCCTCACCCTCGACTGGATTATCACAAAACAATCACAGTGATAAAGCAGCTGTGTCTCATTACTATAACCAGTGGCACAGAACGTTAAACGATGGCTGGCCAGAGGCGACTTCTGTCTGCTGTTCCGATTCAGACATTAGCTTCGAAATAAAGAAGCAAATTCCTCAGCAGAGGTCAGTCATTTCAGTCACAAAATGCTGCCAAGATCCATCTCAGGCATGAGACTGTGTCCATTTTCAAACACTTACTGAGAAAGGAAAGCCATTTTGGAGTTTTGTCCATGCATTTTTAAAGTCTCTGGAATTTCAGGCTATTGAACTGTCTTACAGACATTCCATTTTGCCTTTTCACAATAAATGCAGGACACAAGGAATGTCTGGCTGTTGTACGGCCCAATCCATATATTCACAAAACACCGATCAGGCATAACATTATCTACGCTCATTGTCCATTTTATCAGCTCCACTTACTACATAGGTGCACTTTGTAGTTCTACAGTTACAGACTGTAGTCCATCTGTTTCTCTGCTTACTTTGTTAGCCCCCTTTTACTCTGTTCGTCAGTGGTCAGGACCCCCATAGACCCTCACAGAGCAGGTACTATTTGGATGGTGGGTAATTCTCAGCACTGCAGTAACACTGACATGGTGGTGGTGTGTTAGTGTGTGTTGGGCTGGTACAAGTGGATCAGACACAGCAGTGCTGCTGGAGTTTTTAAACACTGTGTCCACTCACTGTCCACTCTGTTAGACACTCCTACCTTGTCAGTCCACCTTGTAGATGTAAAGTCAGAGACAATAGCTCATCTGCTGCTGCACAGTTTGTGTTGGTCATCCTCTAGTCCTTCATCAGTGGTCACAGGACGCTGCCCACAGGACGCTGTTGGCTGGATATTTTTGGTTGGTGGACTATTCTCAGTCCAGCAGTGACACTGAGGTGTTTAAAAACTCCAGCTGCACTGCTGTGTCTGATCCACTCAGACCAGCACAGCACACACTAACACACCACCACCACGTCAGTGTTACTGCAGTGCTGAGAATGATCCACCACCCAAATAGTACCTGCTCTGTGAGGGTCCATGGGGGTCCGGACCACTGAAGAACAGGGTAAAAGGGGGCTAACAAAGTATGCAGAGAAACAGATGGACTACAGTCTGTAACTGTAGAACTACAAAGTGCACCTATATAGTAAGTGGAGCTGATAAAATGGACAGCGAGCGTAGAAACAAAGAGGTGGTCATAACGTTACGCCTGATCTGTGTTTATCACTGTGGTCAAAAGAAAACCTCTGATCTCCATTTTTGAAAATGCCTTTTGCTATTTATATTGGCATATTGACATAAATTTCCTGATGAATGGACCAAAAGAAACGTTCCAAAACGACATGGAAAAAATTCTGGTTCCATTGACTTACATTAAAAGTAAAGTAGGTCTTTTTCCTTCTCCTGTAAAGGTACCGGTTCAGAGATACGAGGTTTTGTTCCCACAGCAGCGATATGCTAAATATACTGTCTGTCTGGCAGCCGACATTTTTGCATTTGATCTTAGAAGTTCGGATGATGTCAGGAATCCTCAAATACTCATAAATTAGACTGGCTATGTTGACGTGGTCAAAAAACCTCACTGTCAGGTTTTAATACTTCTCATTTATCAGGTCCTGGAGATCCCACTCATCCACTTAAAGAGGGTCGTAAAGCCCTGGGAACAGCAGAGGTGTGATTAATGGTTGTGTAGTAAATCAGAAACGAGAAGTCGTTAATGGTTCAATCCTGTAGAGAAGCACTTTTACCTTGTAATAAAAATGTTTCAAGATCTTGCAGGAAAATAAATGCAAAATGTGCAAAGAATATGTCAATATCTCCTTAACCGAGAAGGTTCATGCAGGGAAATGGGGGGAAACCTGATAGTTTACCTTGATGGTAAGGTAAGAATATCTGGGAATGCTAGTCTGGGCGAGGTGGCTGGAACAGGAAAACAGGAAAACCATGGAAAAACCGTTGATTTCTTAGTTCACTGGCCATTTTATTAGGTACACTTGCCATAGTGGTGCACTTTGTACTACATCAGTCACGCTAAGAATAATCCACCACCCAAAAAATACCTTTTCCATGGTGGTCTTGAGGGGGTCCTGACAACTGATTAACAGAGTAAATAAATAAAGTATGCAGAGAACTCCAAAATGTGCCTATATGGTAAGTCCGTCAGTAGGCCTACCAGTAGCTAATTTGCATATCATTTACATGAAGCACAGCCTAATTCATGCAGGTGTTTCGGAAGGAAGCGGCATTCAGCTCTCATGAGCCAATGGCTGTGCTTGTAGGCAGAGTTTGAGGCCTAGTAGATAGTGCACTGCTCCCCCTACTGACCAAACTTTACAGTATTAAAATTATGACGACTGAAAAGAAAAAAACGTGGCTCCGGAGCCGCATGCGCCTCTTTTACTGCCCTGTTGTGGCTCCACAGCAGAATTAGATTTGCAGGTTAAAATAAAATAATCCTCCTTTACAGTAAAATAAAGCTCTGCTGATCGTTCAACACAGTTTAACAGTAAATGGTCTTAAACTCTGGAGTTAATGTAGAACTGCTAATTCACCCTTTAACCCTGAAGATCAGCGCAGACTGCTTGTCACCATAGCAACCCAGACAATACTCTCACCTAGCTAGTAGCTAACGAAAAAGGGAAAGATTTAAGACAAACATTAATAATTTGGAGACAAATTGACGTATTTGCATTTATAATCACTCCAGCTGGTGTCCTGATATGTTTAAGCTGCAAAGAGAAACTGTCAAACACTGAAAAGTCACGAAGTCAGCTTCTCATTCGCCAGCGTCTTGTTCAAATTGTCCCGTTCCACCTTAAATGGTGCAGCAGTTACATTCTGGCACCTCAGGCACCATTTAAGGTGGAACGGGAAAATTCAAACAAGAAGCTGGCGAATGAGAAACGACTTCAGCCTCGTAAAAATTGAACGTTGAGAGACGTTTTACAAGAAACTGTTCTACTTTTGAGGAAAAGTTTCCTGCCAGAGATGCGAGAAAAACGGTATAGCTGAGCTAAAGCTTAAAGCAGAGCAAAGTGAGTCTGTGTTTTCGTTTATATTTTTTAGCCTTTACTAGCACATCAGCACATACTAAGACATATTTACAGCCAAGATGGTGAAATGGACATAAAATTAAAAAAATAAAGTATCATTGTGGATATCTATTGGAAGTTCAAGCAGCATTAATTAGGCAAATGAACACGCCATTCTCCAACCAACCAACAGTCAATAAAAAGATGTAATTATCTTTAGAGATCTTTATATCCTTCCTCACCTTGAACAAGGTGCTCCGAATCCGTGTAAGATTCATCAGCATGACCCCTGAGTTGACCCCAGTGACGCCATAGAAAGGGTGCCTGGCGAAGCGACTATACCAGCCAATCTTGGGGATCTCATGCTCTGGAGCCATGGCTGCCAGCTGAGTGCTGTTGAAGGCCTTCAGGAACTTCCAGATGTCGTCCATAGGCCGGAGAAAGAGCACATCGGTGTCCACGTACAGTAACGAGTCCACATCCTTCAGGATCACCTGAGGGTAGAAGATGCCACGTTAGCAAATCTGTCCAAACAACGTGAAGAGAAACAGATAGAAAATGGTCCTCACTGGAAGAAAGAGCCTCTGGGCAGCACATGGCTTGAAGAGCCTCTTCCATTCCTCAGCATTTCCCACAGAGAAGGTGATCGGGTACAGACTGTACTGGAACTTGGAGGTGAGAGGCCGCGGCCACTGGCTCAGCTGCGAGGGAAATTGGAGATGGTCAGACAGCTTCACAGTAATCGTCACGCATTATCTCTAGAGACTCCGATAACCCGTGACATTAGCGTGGAACAGACTGTCCCCTGAGAACTGGGGGTGTAAATCTCTGACTTTAATTCCATGACAAATCTTTAGGAAACAATTCAATGCCAAAAACTTTAACTACAATAAAAACAAAATAATGTTTTATTTTCATTTGAAATCAGCCAGATATTTTAACCCTTAAATGGCCAGTTTTCTTGCACACTTCTATAACCTAAGAATAGCTCAGCCAGCGTGCAATCATGTCCCTGTATTTACTGAACAATAAGCCTCAGCATCTAATAAGCCTGGGATTTTAAGGGGTTAATTTTGGCCACATACAAACATAATATGCAGGTAGTTTACTGAATACTAAATAGTATTCAGTACTAAATAGAGCTGAAACAATGCCACTTTTTCTTTTCCAATATCAATACTGATTTTGAAACCTTCGTTATTGACTTTGTTTAAGATGAGCATCTTAAAGTGGTCCATCAAGCTTAATCTACTCAAGCTCGCTATTAGGCTTGTCAAGACGTATCTCAATTATTTAGGAGGATCACAATAATTTTCCACATTAATTAGCTTTCACAATCATTCGTTTATGTCAGAACAAACACCTTTAGAGGGCAGCGGTGAGTAATGTTTTTCATTTGACGTTTGTTAAGACCATTAAAGGGCGGGGTATCGTGAGTATCGTGAGTATTGTATCGTATCGTTTGTTTATTTGATGTTTTTAATAACACCTTTAGAGGGCGGCGGTCAGTATTGTTTGTTTATTTGATGCGTTTAATAACGACGTTACAGGACAGTGGTAAATAATGTTTGTTTATTTGAGTTGAGCTGGGTCGTCAGTTGCGAGCTACTAAGTATGGACGGCTAGGAAGCGAGAGAGTTAATCAGTTGATTTGATCAATTTAGGCTTGTAATTAACCCTTGTGTGGTTTTGGGGGGTCTGTGGGACCCCCCAAAGAAAAAATGATGTGGTTTATTATTATTTCAACCTCAGATTCTTGTCCTTTGCTCATTTTCTGTGAAGAACATATAAAATAACCCATTTTCAGTGTCTTCACTCTGTTCACCCCCCACATTTATATTACACGTGGTGTTGGGTGAACCTGTGGGGAGTAAAAGTGTGGAGGTGCTGTGTCCTTCACTCTGTTCTCCTCCTACATGGCCTGCTATTAGTGTGTGTCTGTGTGTGTGAGAGAGGGTGGACGACATGGACAGGCTGCTGACTGGCTACAGCTGCTAAAGGAGAACCCTACGCTGGACAGTTGCGATATTTTAAACATCTGGTATTTTCACATAAATTGTTATGGCTGTATTGATTTAAAAACAATAATGTGGTGGGTCCAGCAGACCACTGAGTAACAAACACATCAACAGCATACAATGAACTGTGACAGGGTGCATGGTGGAAATGTGACAATGCATTGAGGAGAATCTGGACAGTCCATTAATTATAATGTCTAACGGATCTGCATTGTCTGAAAGTTTAAAGAGTGTATCATTATACCCAAAATGTATCGATAAGTCAATCAATCTTCAGCTAATATTTCATGACAGGGCTCACATTTACACAGTAGTGGAATACAGACAATAAAAACAATAAAAAAAAAAACAAAAGAACAACAGGACTTAATAATCTGAAATGAATGCCAGAGAATTCAATTTTATTTCGGCTGATTAATGAGCACACCCTTTATTGAAATAATATCTATTATCATCTATTCCAGCAGCAATGCTTTTGAACTGTCACCTTCAGAGGCCTTTCACACCACTACTGAGAACCGTTTACATGAATACGATACAATTAAGCAGCCTTTTGAAGTGTGATCGCTTAAATAAGGCACAGCTGAGAACAGAAACCACAAAGAAAAAGCAGGTCTACTTCATCTACTGTGTAAAGCTCAATTCAATTGTGTTTGTGGAAAGCATGCTGTTCCAAAGCAGCTTTACCCAAATCCGGGTCCAGACCCTAGTCGGACTGCCTGAAGGTGAGTGAAGGAAGGAAAAACTCTCTAAGGGCAAGAGGAAGAAACCCTGAGAGGAACCAAGACTCAAAAGAGGAACTCATCCTCCTCCGGCCGAGGGTGGATCGTGAAATTACAATAAGACGCACACCTATTTCCTATTTGTATTTCCTGTTCAAGAAGTGACTTGTGATATGAATCATTTGGTTCTTAAAGCCGAATTCCAAAACTAAGATAAACACCGCAATCCAGAGTGGTTTGTAGAGGAACTTGGAGTTTTAATTCAGCTTTAATTCAAGTTCCTATTGCAGTGGTGGTTATAGGAACCAGACATCTGAAGCATTTAATGCCTTTAAAATCGCCCTCACAGAAACTGATTGCATGGAAAGGTTGTGAATACACTGCCTGATGCAGACAGCATTGTTTACTGAAAATGTTGAGAACGTTTTTGTATTTTTTGTTTTATATTTATGACAAAGGGGTACATACAGGATGTTGTGAGACAAAAAAAGTCCCTAAAGAAAACTTCTTTTCAGATTTGATACTATTTCACCATTATCAACCTTAAATACAGTACCAGTCAGAAGTTTCTGATTCAGTGGTTTGTCTTTATTTTTATTATTTTTCTACACTGCAGCTTATTATTGAAGAAATCAAAACTTCCAAGAATCTAAAGTATAAAACATCTTCTGGTTTGTTTAACACTTTTTTGTTTACTACATAATTCCATGTGTGTTCCATCGCAGTTTCGATGTTAAATATTAATCTGCAATGTAGAAAATAATAAAAATAAAGAAATAACACTGAATGAGAATGTGTCTAAACTTTTGACTGGTACTGTATACACCGATCAGACTTAACATTATGACCACCTCCTTGTTTCTACGCTCATTGTCCATTTTATCAGCTCCACTTACTATATAGGTGCACTTTGTAGTTCTACAGTTACAGACTGTAGTCCATCTGTTTCTCTGATACTTTGTTAGCCCCCTTTTACCCTGTTCTTCAGTGGTCAGGACCCCCATGGACCCTCACAGAGCAGGTACTATTTGTGTGGTGGATCATTCTCAGCACTGCAGTAACACTGACGTGGTGGTGGTGCGTTAGTGTGTGTTGTGCTGGTCTGAGTGGATCAGACACGGCACTGCGGTGTATAAGTTCTCGTGTAGGTTCACTGGTGGTTTTGGAAAGCAAACAAAATGGCTATATTTGTGTTGCAGTCATAGCGACCCCTGGTTCCCATCACCACCACTGTAAAGAAATGTTTCTCTACAATGAACCATTTCATATCAAGCCTCTCTGAATGACTTTGTTTACATCTCAGTGATTGAAGTGTGTGGAAATTAAAAAAAAAAAAGAAAAACAAAACAAAATACAGAAACAAATCATCGGAATTCCCCTTTAAGCTTGCATACAAGCTCTTTCCACCCCCTCCAGTTCTTTTGTCCTGAGCCAGTCAAGCACTTCTAGCTGAATTAGAACAAAAGGCATCATGTGGAAGTTCAATCAGCAGCAGGTGTGCATTTACACGACTGTCAGAGTAAAAAAAGTAAGATGAGCTACATTTGTGCACCGTAGAACATCACAAAATATGTTAAATTAAAAGCCCAGCAGGAGATCCTGGCCAGTTACCTCAACACTGTGAACTGTTAAGACCTGCGTTAATCTGGCTTAATGCAACACTCGGTGCAACTGACTCAGAGTGCTTTTCCTCTCACACCTTCAAAAGCTTCCTGCTGCTTACATTCTGTTCCTTTTTCTGACGTTGTTTATGAGATGCAGCACCAGGGCGACGGCCTAGCTCAGCCGCAGGCCCCTCCGAAAAGCGCCCGCTCTGTGGCAGCCGATAATTTTCCGCACCGTTACACGCTACATCCTCCCCCTCGCCTTCGCAAACATTATTAAACAATTTAGTTCAGAGGGAGAGATCACGGCGGCAGGAGCCGGCTGCCACGTAGCTGATATGGGTGAAAGATCAAAGCACGAGGGATGAGGCAGACGCATTTCCCGCCTTCGTTACCTCCGGCTTCACCACCAGAGCAGTGCAGAGGGCGAGCTGGGGCGTCTGAGTCTAACCGACACTGCTTGAGGGCTACCGCGGAGCCGCTCGCACAACAGACCCGAGAATCTCGGCGCGGTCAAAGCCACCATTCAGCGGCTTCTTTCATCAGTCGCGGTTTCTGGTGATACGCAAACACGTCTGCGCGCCGGAGGCCACAGGACGTGTGCAGTTCAGTGCCGTCTTGCCAATATGAGTTGAGTAACAGTCCAGAAAAGTAATTCTGCTGCAAGCCTGACCTTAAAAAGCGCCAGGGTTAAAAAACGCAACTCCAACAGGGTGAATCACACTCTGAGGTAATAAATGGCCTGATGTTCAGATAAGAGTTGAAGGCCTGAGTCAGCAAGAAGAGAAATGACTCGGTTATGCTTTTCTAGATAACTCTGAGCATCGCAGAGACGGAGGGAGATATTCATTAAGGGCAAACACAGACTGCAAAATATTAAAGAAATACGCTGCCTGCCAAAAGTTTAAACTCTCTGCCTTCTTTTGAAATATTTTTAGCAAGTTGGCTGTAATAATTTTCACCGTTTCACTTTTTAAATAAGGAATAAAAATACTTGCAAAGGTTTTAACATAAACAGCTACTTGCTAATACTGTAGTAACACTTTATTTGGAGCGGTCCCTTGTAGATGATTAATAAACTCTTAACAGATTATTAGTAACACATTAACAACATATCAGTGGAGCAGCAGTAGTGCAGCATCTGAATACACTGAAGTAAATATCTTGAAGATGTTCTATTGACACATCACTTACATTAAGTAGATGTGTTGTTAATATGATACTTACATTACGCAAAACCTAACCTTACCAACCTTACCCAAATCCTAACCCTCAGCCTGGCCCTAATCCTAACCCTCACCCGGGCCCTAATCCTGACCCTCACCCTGGCGCTAATCCTAACCCTGACCCTGGCCCTAATCCTAACCCTCACCCTGGCCCTAATCCTAACCCTCAGCCTGGCCCTAATCCTAACCCTGACCCTGGCCCTAATCCTAACCCTGACCCTGGTCCTAATCCTAACCCTCACCCTGGCCCTAATCCTAACCCTCACCCTCAGCCTGGCCCTAATCCTAACCCTCACCCTCAGCCTGGCCCTAATCCTAACCCTCACCCTGGCCCTAATCCTAACCCTCATCCTCACTCTGGCCCTAATCCTAACCCTCAGCCTGGCCCTAATCCTAACCCTCACCCTGGCCCTAATCCTAACCCTCAGCCTGGCCCTAATCCTAACCCTCAGCCTGGCCCTAATCCTAACCCTCACCCTCACCCTGGCCCTAATCCTAACCCTCACCCTGGCCCTAATCCTAACCCTCACCCTGGCCCTAATCCTAACCCTTACCCTCACCGTGGCCCTAATCCTAACCCTTACCCTCACCCTGGCCCTAATCCTAACCCTCAGCCTGGCCCTAATCCTAACCCTCAGCCTGGCCCTAATCCTAACCCTCACCCTCACCCTGGCCCTAATCCTAACCCTCACCCTGGCCCTAATCCTAACCCTCAGCCTGGCCCTAATCCTAACCCTCACCCTCACCCTGGCCCTAATCCTAACCCTCACCCTCACCCTGGCCCTAATCCTGACCCTCACCCTGGCCCTAATCCTAACCCTTACCCTCACCCTGGCCCTAATCCTAACCCTTACCCTCACCCTGGCCCTAATCCTAACCCTCAGCCTGGCCCTAATCCTAACCCTCAGCCTGGCCCTAATCCTAACCCTCACCCTCACCCTGGCCCTAATCCTAACCCTCACCCTCACCCTGGCCCTAATCCTAACCCTCACCCTGGCCCTAATCCTAACCCTCAGCCTGGCCCTAATCCTAACCCTCACCCTCACCCTGGCCCTAATCCTAACCCTCACCCTCACCCTGGCCCTAATCCTAACCCTCAGCCTGGCCCTAATCCTAACCCTCAGCCTGGCCCTAATCCTAACCCTCAGCCTGGCCCTAATCCTAACCCTCACCCTCACCCTGGCCCTAATCCTAACCCTCACCCTGGCCCTAATCCTAACCCTCAGCCTGGCCCTAATCCTAACCCTCACCCTCACCCTGGCCCTAATCCTAACCCTCACCCTCACCCTGGCCCTAATCCTAACCCTCACCCTCACCCTGGCCCTAATCCTAACCCTCACCCTGGCCCTAATCCTAACCCTTACCCTCACCCTGGCGCTAATCCTAACCCTTACCCTGACCCTGGCCCTAATCCTGACCTTCATATGTTTTTGACATGTTACTGTGAGTCTGTTGAGTGTTTGTTTCTAAAAAGGACACTCAGAATAAAGAGTCACTGATCTTTCAGTCCTATGAGTACAGAAACAAACCAGTGCTGTTACTAAAATAAGACAGTGAGTGTGTTTACATGCACTTAATAATCCGATTACTGCAGAAAATCTGATTTTGTCAGTAATCCGATCAACACGTTTTCATGCATTTGAGTAATCAGATAATGGGGAAACTCGAGTCAGACAGTGTAGACTCACAGAAGAAGACGTGACGTAAACATAATACAAAATTTAAATGTCACGCTGCGGCTTTTTTTTTAAAACATCGCACCACTTTACCTGAAAATATGATCAAACATCATCTAGAAGATGAGGAATATTTAAATCCTTTATTGCGCGTTTGGTTTCAGCGTCTCTCCAACAGTGTTTTGATGCGTTTTGTGACATCTACTGTAGAAATCCGATAGAAATCAGAGTAAGAGTTCACATGCACTGAGAAATCTGATTACTGAGCTAAAATCAAGCTCTCTTCATCGGATTTCTTAATCGGATTTCTAGATCGGAGTACGGTGTTTACAAGACTATTTGAATAATCGGATAACTGCAGAAATCTGATTACGATCGGATTACTGAGTGCATGTATACGAGTGACAGTGACTCTCCTGCCTGAACTCGTACCCCTTTCTCAAACTGCTCCGTCAAATCCTCTTCTGCGAAGATGTGAAACTTGATCTTCTTGATGCTGAAGAGCAGCGCCGACTTCACCATAGTGAGCGTTTCCTCCAGGCGGTTCCCACAGGCGACTACAGCAAGGTGCATAACGTCCTCCGCCCGGGTGACCTTCGACCGGCCCAGCTCACTCTTCTGCCTGCAAAGGTCAAATCAAGGTAAAAACGGTCACACATCTCTCAAACCAACATCTTACTGTTTTTCTGAAGTCTGAGTGATGTTGCTCCATAATGGTGCTACACAAAGCATCTGTCTCACATCTGTTCCAGGTCAGCAGAGTAAAACCATGAAATATTCCCTAAAAATACTTTGTGTACAAACTAATATATCCTGAGGATACCATTACTGGGACATGAACATACTGTAATATACACCGATCAAGCATAACATTATGACCACCTCCTTGTTTCTACGCTCATTGTCCATTTTATCAGCTCCACTTACTATATAGGTGCACTTTGTAGTTCTACAGTTACAGACTGTAGTCCATCTGTTTCTCTGATACTTTGTTAGCTCCCTTTTACCCTGTTCTTCAGTGGTCAGGACCCCCATGGACCCTCACAGAGCAGGTACTATTTGTGTGGTGGGTCATTCTCAGTACTGCAGTAACACTGACATGGTGGTGGTGTGTTAGTGTGTGTTGCGCTGGTCTGAGTGGATCAGACACAGCAGTGCTGCTGGAGTTTTAAACACCTCAGTGTCGCTGCTGGACTGAGAATAGCCTACCAACCAAAAATATCCAGCCAACAGCATCCTGTGGGCAGCGTCCTGTGACCACTGATGAAAGACTAGAGGATGACCAACACAAACTGTGCAGCAGCAGATGAGCTATCGTCTCTGACTTTACATCTACAAGGTGGACTGACAAGGTAGGAGTGTCTAATAGAATGGACAGTGAGTGGACACAGTGTTTAAAAACTCCAGCAGCACTGCTGTGTCTGATCCACTTGTACCAGCACAACACACACTAACACACCACCACCACATCGGTGTTACTGCGGTGCCGAGAATGATCCAACACCCAAATAGTACCTGCTCTGTGAGGGTCCATGGGGGTCCTGACCACTGAAGAACAGGGTAAAAGGGGGCTAACAAAGTATGCAGAGAAACAGATGGACTACAGTCTGTAACTGTAGAACTACAAAGTGCACCTATATAGTAAGAGGAGCTGATAAAATGGACAATGAGTGTAGAAACAATGAGGTGGTCATAATGATACGCCTGATCTGTGTATATGGATATGAAAGCTTTTCATATCTATAATTCCATCTATGGTGCTACCATGCTGAAACACAGTGAACCATCCATGCGTCAAACTGAAACTGAAAGATTAAGAAAAATTTGATGTTTAAAGTTTTAATCCAGCATCAAATCGAAACTGGAACTCTATTTCTGTGGACATTTATCATATCTATAATGCCATTTATAGCACTATCATGATAATATAGGGTGAACAGTGGTGTGTCCAACTCGGGACGCAAAGACATGCAGTATTATTAAAAGACTTTGTTTGATTAATGTATCTTTTGGAATGGTTTCTGATGGTCTTGATGTATTTGATGTTTGTTTTTTGCATCTGAGTATATCCTCTTGTTGGTGTACTGCCACTTTAAGAAGGCCTTAGCAGAACCTACACAGATGAGGCCAATTCCACTTCCTCTTCAAAAGGAAGTAGGTTGAGAGAGTTGCTTCATGAGCATTGATGACAGTAAGAAGCTGAAACATTTGCTTAGTCTGTTTTTTTACTATGAAATAAACGTGAAATAAAGTGGCACAAATCCGATTTTTTGCCCTAATGTGACTCAGATCTGATTTTTTCAGGGCTGTGTGGACACAAATCTGATCTTTTCAAATCAGACCTTAGCCACTTTCATATGTGGTCCTAGATCGGATACGTATCCGATTCATGGCCATGCGACCTTAATGTGACGCTCAGATTGGAATTCATGTGCTTTTTTCCGCTGCGCTGCGCCATCATTCAGCGTTACCATGGCAACAGCGCCGAACAGAAGTTATAGCCTGTAAATGGTGGAAAAGCAGCTCATCTCACCTTTTTCTCCTTCGTCTCGCTCTAATAATGAAGCTGAGAGCTGATCAGAGTTAATTATCTTCTCAGCGAAGCTCGTTCTGCTCGTTAGTTTGTGCTGATGATGCAGTGATTCATTCACGTGACGTTACTGAGTAGGATGAGCTCATGAGGGTCATTTCAGGACGCCGGTTCGTCACATTAATGACAGATTTGAATCACTTACCTAAACGAGCGTGAACCATCCTGTCAGAGAGATCGGATTTGAGCAAAGAATCGGATTTGAGCAATAAGGTTTGTAATGTGAACGTAGCCTGTGCTAAAATGTCTGCATTTAATAAATTGTACTGCATTTGTAAACTTGCTGAAATAAATGTTATATTTCTCTGTAATGCTAATCCAGGTAGATCCCATGTTACTAAATGTTTATGTATCGGCATCTCATATTGGTGCATCGTTACTTTTTGGTATAAATTTGTACTTCGATGGGACTAAAATTACATTTCAAATATGTGATGTATTTAGCATATTTTTAATGTTAAAATTCCACTTGAACGGTCATTTTGGGTGGGCCAGTGATAAAAGTGTGTGGGCCTTGGCCCTCGCCACTGCCAGGTTTCACTGGCCAAGTCTCTGGATGCGTATTGGATATTTAACTTCATTCTCTTTCACAGATGACTGATCACAAACGAAAGAGGAGGTCAGCAACTTTTAGGGGACCGGAGACACTAACAAACAGTCTTGTTCAATTTGTTTTGCACTGCAGTTTGAGAGATACTGAACTGTTCTATTCCAGAACCTGTACGTCTTCATTCCTACATCTCCCAGAATTCCTTTGGACTGTTTGTGGGGTGTGGCTATATCAGTAGTGCTTTGGCATGGCCACACCCCCTTATTTACTTATTTAGTCCATTAGTCTTGCTACACCAGTCAGGCATAACATTATGACCACCTCCTTGTTTCTATGCTTATTGTCCATTTTATCAGCTCCACTTACTATATAGGTGCACTTTGTAGTTCTACAGTTACAGACTGTAGTCCATCTGTTTCTCTGATACTTTGTTAGCCCCCTTTTACCCTGTTCTTCAGTGGCCCCCCCCTAACGTCTGTTAGCTGATGTAACAGAACTAGCATTGGTGCGAAAAGATGTCGTGGTGCTTCACAGGTCTCAGAGGAACCTCCTAGCACTGGTGGTATCGTGTGATTTGGGAGTCCTAACTAGTGGGTGGAACTGGATACGACTAAATTGGGGAGAACACGGGGAAAAATAAAAAAAGAAAAAGAAAATCGGGATAAAAGTAGTGCAGGCCGAAGTTTTACCTACTTTTAAATTCAGTTTTACCTACTGAATTTATCATGGTCATAAAAAAAAAACATAATATGTGGTCGGTACAAAAGTTATAGAGCTTGTCCCAGGGTGCTCAAACTTTTGCATAGGTATGCCCATTCCGCTCCAACACCACTCTGACTAGTTCTGTATTCCCAGCTGGTAAGACCGCCTGTTCTGTTGTGAGTTAAAAGGAGCTGAGTGGGATGAGGAGTGTATAAACCATCACATCATGCTGCTGAGGTGACTCCTGCAAGTTTGATACACAACCAAAGGTATCACTTAGCATTTTTTCCTTGCTTTTTTGGTCTGAAACCGTTTTTTTTCCGAACCTCTGGTATGACGCAGCACCTTCTAACACTAAAAACAGCTGAACTTGTTCCTCTTTAACTTCGCTTTCAAGAAGTTAGAATTAAGCTGTTCTGAACGGCGGAGAAACAGGCAGAGGCCTTTAACTCGGAGATCTTCTGCGAATTTGGCTTTACAGTCACGGCTCAGCGCCCCGCTCAGTACTTTCTGCATCTGATGCAAAAAGGCTGCCAAGACAGCGGAGGGAGGGACAGAAACTACAACAGAATTTAAATTGACCCTGGAGAGCCTCTAGACAGAAGAAGAGGGGCATGCTGCTTCATTTTTTGAGCACTGCTAGCTTGTCTTGTGTTTCTTGCGTACATGTTTTTAGTTTTGGGTTTACATTTACGCTTCACGTTTGAGGCAGACAGTGAATGAGCTGGAAGACGCGAGCTTTCCAACACTGCAACTAGAGACGACCTCTGTGCACAGTCCTCCATTTATCCTGGGATTTAGTTAAAAGAAACAAAATCATGCAGCCCAAGGAGACAGAGAGAGGGGGAGAGGGAGAAAGAGAGAGGGAGAGAGAGAGGGGGAGAAAGAGAGAGAGGGAGAGAGAGAGAAGGAGAGAAAGAGGGAGGGAGAGAGAGAGAGAGAAAGAGGGAGAGAGGGAGAGGGAGAAAGAGAGGGAGAGAGGGAGAGGGAGAAATAGAGAGGGAGAGAGAGAGAGAGAGAGAGGGAGAGGGAGAGAGAGAGGGAGAGAGAGAGAGAAAGAAAGAGAGGGAGAAAGAGGGAGAGAGAGAGAGAGAGAAAGAGAGGGAGAGAGAGGAAGAGAAAGAGGGAGGGAGAGAGCGAGAGAGAGAGAGAGAGAGAGAGAGAGAAAGAGAGGGAGAGAGAGAGAGAGAGAGAGAGAGAGAGAGAGAGAGAGGAAGAGAAAGAGGGAGGGAGAGAGAGAGAGAGAGAGGGAGAGAGAGAAAGAGGGAGGGGGGGGAGGAAAAAAAAAAACCTAGACATCAAAGGACTCTCACAGAGGAGAGGACAGGCAAATACTCTTGCTGAAAGTCAAACGTGGACCTTGATATTGGAAAAAAACTATCCCATCACGAAGGATGCGAGTGGAGAGACGCTTTTCATGCGAGACGCTTTGTTTTCTGCTTCACTGAGACACAACCATGCGACACACGTTAGACAAGACGGGGGTGCGAGGGAGGGCTGCTGTTTCTGCTTTGAAGGCTTTAGTTTCCTTCACAAATACGCCTCGCGTGTTTACAGCGGGATAATTTACAGGAACTAGGCCAACAGCTTTTAACGCTGAAGCCACCAACAACATTCTCTGCAAAACAGGATTAAGACAGCAACACATTTATCACAAACAAAAACACATTAAGACTTTTCACTGGTATTTGGGAAAACAGCGTGACACAGTACACGCTAGTGCAGTACACTGTGGGTCTGCAAGGGGGCAGCACTTCAGAAGCCCTGTTTCTTCAAAAGG